GCATCACGCACCAACCGGTTTAATACTTAATAGTACAGGTTCTATATGCTCACAAAATAATTTGTTTATAAATTGCAATCAATAAAATAGAATTTCTGTTGGATTTAGTGAAACTAAAAAAAAATATTTCTAAATATTCCTATAGCAGGGCAAATTTTTATATTATATTATATATTTATATTAACTAATTAATAATATTTGTATGTTATCACAGTACATATAAGTTTTGATAACCGATTAAAGTAGTAGAGGTAGTAAATAACGTTTTCTATAATATTATTGGTTTTAGATTTGAAGTTTAGAGATTTAGTCTATTGGTTTCACTCTGATTTAAAATTTTTTTTTCGGTCTGTAAACAATTTTTGAACATAAACTTGCATTAATTGAAAAATTACTAAATGTCTTCTTAATAATTCAACAAAACTAAAAAAAACGTAAGGAAAATTTACAGAAATCAGTGGTGTGACTAGAGGGAATTTAGGTGTTGTTATCTCACCTCTCATTGCTTTTATTTTTATCTTTAAATAACGTTGTAGACTTCTTAACTCTCCTAGACACCCCTACTGATAAATCCTGATTACGCCACTGACAGAAATTTTGTTTGTGTCTATGAGTAACTTTTCTACCAGAAACCTTACTCTAATATATCAAGTATAGCACCTTTTCTAAAAGGAAATTTTATCTGGTTGATGCAAGTTCTAGTTGATTTTCCAAGAGGTTTTCATAATAATTAGGTAAAACTGAAAAAAAATGGTCGGGAAACAGTAAATATTTATTTTACTATATTCATTTCTTACAAAAAATAGTTTTATGAGAATAGTTACTGAAATATTTTGTTTGAGCAGAAATGAACAAAAACCATTGTAAGTACTAAGTATACATAGGTACTAAGGTACCTCTTTTTTATAGTTAGTCACCCATGATAACGATCGTAATATAGGTACCACTTTTTTCTTAAGGCGGTATTTCTAAAAAAACCTTTGAGTTAAGTTTATTTTTTTTAGAAATTGTCTCTTAAATTCTAAAAGTGATCACATTTTCGGAAACGTATGTTAAAAAATATAAAAAGAATTTTAATTTTAATGTTTGATTGACTCATCCTGAAAAGTTGGAAAAAATGAGATACTACTTGTGTTATTGAAAAAGTTAATGTATGCGCATACAATTTATAAATACTATCAATATACTATGTAGTATATTATAACATAATCTTACATTATAAATATATAACATTATACATTTTTCATTCATTATACTTAGCTTACTTATATTCCAAGCGAAGTTCGGTTATTCATGTTTTGGAAAAGTTGTAATGTTTACAATTTGAAAATAATAAATTTCTTAAATTTTCTCGTTTTTCCTACCTTTTTTCCTATTTTTTCCCATTTATTAGGAAAAACCTCTGGGGAAATAAAAAAAATGACCTTGTAAAAGTACCACACCACAAAATTTTCCTTTCAGAAAAAGTGCTACACTTGAAAATCGGAGTAAAATTTATCGTAGAAAATTTGTTCATAGAAAAAAAATATATATAAATATAAATATAAAAATCATAGTAAAACCTATACATTCCTTGTTTCGCTCAAAATCTAAAACTAAAGTAGTGTATTTTGAAAACTAAACTATGTATTAAGAAAGAGTGATAAAATAATAATAGTGAAGCTGATGGACAAAAATGTGTTGCTCAATACAGCTTAATGAGTGTAAACAGAAAGATATAGAAGAGTTTTAGTGAAAGATAGATGAGGTAATGCAAGGAATACCAGGAAACGAGGATGTTGGTAGTGAAAGCATTGGTACCGTGAAGTATGGTTTATCGTTGCGTACAGATATAAATTAAATATCCATAATCTATGTATATTCTACTTTCCTAACTTCCCACTTAAAACAATGGCTGCACCCACCTCAAGCATCAGCTCATTTTTTTTTTTCGTAAACAACTTTTCAAAAGGAAATCATGCTCCGGTATATAGATTGTACTGATTGTAGTATTGTTTTTGAAAAAAATTTTATCCAGTTGGTGCAATAGAAAGGTAATTTTTTGATTTTTAAAAGGGTTAGGTTGATAGTGCTGCTTTGTTAACAATATATATATATTTGTCATACTATGGTAATTAAAAATGCATTATATATTTTCTTTTGTAATATTTGTTTAAAATTGTAACCTATTTTTTAGTTTTTCCTAAGTTTTTTCCCGGTTTTTCCCATAAATTGGGAAAACACCTGGTAAAATCAATAAACTACCCCTTTAAAGTACCTTCTCAGTTAGATTTCCTTTTAGAAAAAGTGCTACCGTGGTAAATCGGAGTAAAATTGATGTGGTCGTAGAAAAATTGTTAAGAGATGAAAAAATAAAAAAATAAACATCGCTATAAAACCGTATGCTTCGTCGCTCCACTCAGGATCTAAAATATGGACATACTTTGTACGATGAGTACAGAGTATGAAGAGTATGAAGAGTACCTGTTTTAGGTGGGAAGTTGAGAAGATTATATACGTAATATGTATTTAGTAATTATTTTTTGGATAAAATGATTAGAGTAAACAGAAATGCTTAAAAATGTCATATAAGGTACACTATTCATTGTCTTTATTCATTTAAAAAACAAATTTGAGTTTAATGCATTAGTTTTTTTTTTTTTTTTTATAAACGTTAAAGATCAAATTTTGATGAAATAAATATTAAATATAAAAGGTCGTAAATATAATGACCTTTCAAAATATGTATAAATAAACTTCTCTCCGAATCGTCTAGCGAGGGATCTATTGGTATGATGTGTGCTTTTTTTTTCATTCTGTAAACAACTTTTTGAAAAAGAAATCTTGTTCCAATTCCAAGTCATTTTTTGATCTTCCAAGAGGTTTTCAAAATAATTGAGAAAAACCCAAAAGAAAACTATAGGTAAAACGCCAAATATTTACAGCTTGCCGTACAAATTTATTTATTTATTACTTTATTTAATTATTATTATTTATTCATTGACGTTACCGTTTTCATTGTTTTTAATTTTTTCACACTGTTTTCTACCAGAAACTTATCTCTAATCGAAAAATGGCTAGATATCGAATTTCTCCTTTTAATTTATTCCTGCTGATAGGGAAAGTCCTTTTTCAATATCCAAAAAAGTTTTCATAATAATTATATAATAAATATAAAATAATAAGATTATCAAAAAATCTAATTTGATTAATATTTACAGAAAATTTGTGTTCCTATTTAATCATTTTAATTTTTGTAAACGATATTTTTTACCAAAAAATTTTCTCCAATTGAAAATGACAAGAGATCGACTGTGTTCCATCCAACCACATACAGAGCAAGTCATTTTTTTGATTTTTAAATGTATTTATTTATTTATTTCGACAAGAGATTAATTATTAGTTAACAGTATACCTAGCTAGTATATGGAAATACTATTCAGAAAAAAAAAGCACTCATAGTTAGGCCAGTTGGTACATCTAAATTAAATAAATGATACACCTATTAGGTAATTTGGTATGTGAATTAGGTATATAATATATATTAAAACAAAAAGAGCTGATGCTGGTGCGACTACTGTTGTAAGTGAATAGTTGGGAAGGTGGGATACGTAACATTGTTTAATTTATACCTGTAACCCACGATAAACCATTTCCGCCGAAAAACGATTCGGAGCGATATTCGGTTAGATTATACATGTTTTTGAAAGGCCGTAATATTTCGTCAAAATTTGATTTAACTCAATATTTTTTTTTTTACTACTAAGTACGACTTATAAAGAGCCTATTGTTAAATGTTCAAATATTTCTATTTAGTTTAACAATTTTATCCCCAGAGTACCTACCAAATAAAAATGACGTAAAACAACTCTCAAAATTCAAATAACTATAAATAGCTCAAAAACGGCAAAAAAAAAGCTCAAACGTTTAGAAAAAAAAATTTGCAAAAAGCAAATATAAGTTTTTTGTTAAAATCAAGTCTCTACGAATATTTTTAACTAAATTACATTAAAAAAATAAAATTCTAAAATAATAATTTTCCACTTCTTTCTACGTATTTTTCAATTTTGGTCAATTATTAAAAAAACTAAAAAAAAAATCAACGACTAGATTAAAAATTCAACAAAAAAGATCTTTTGTCGTTTTTTTATTGGAGTAATATTCCTGGTAGAAAACATAACTTGAAATAATTAAACTGGATACACTACGTTGCCGTAAATATGAATCAATTTTAATTTTTCGGTTTTTCCTAATTATTAAGGAAACTACTTTGGATATCGAAAAATTACTTACTTAATCAAAGGCAAAATATTAAAAAGAACAAAATCGATCTTTTGTTACTTTTGAATTGGAACAATATTTCTGGTAGAAAAAATCGTGTAAACATAATATTAAATAATGAAAACGGTAATGATAAATATTTACTGTGTTACCTACAATTTTCTTTCAGTTTTTTTCCAAGGTTTTAAACCCCTTGGAAAATCGAAAAATGACCTCCCAATACTACAACGATAGAACATTACTTTTCGGAAAAGTTGCTGTAGTCTATTTTTCAGAGCAAGTTTTCTAGTAGAAAAATTCTTTGTAGATAAAAAAATAAAAATATTACGAAAATACAAAAAAAAAAAAAAAAACATAGTAAAACCGTTAAACCAGTAGTGAATAGCTACGCTCCGATTCTAAAATACTGGTAAGTGGACAAGCATTTACTGTTGCTATTATTGTAGAGGAGGAAGTCCAGCACTACCCAATATTGATTCACAGTTGTAGGTACCTAATATGTGTTGTGATTATGTATGTCGCCATGGAAACTTACGCAAAAACAAATTATTATCATTACGTCAACTGCACGAAAGAAGATAATTTAACATTTATTTTTGTTTTCAACACCAGTAGTCATCTAATAACTTAATGTAAATTTATATTTTTTTTTAAATACTAGAATATTTACATTTATACACCTACTATAAAGTGTTTAAAAAAAAAAATCTATCAATTATTCAATTATATTCACATACACAATGCGTTTTAAATCAACAGTCCTTAAAGAGCTTGTGGATCAAACAGTTGTTTGCATCGGATGGACTGGAAACGATGAAATAATAATCGGAAGGTTTGTAAAAGTTTTTAATTCGTAAATAGAAAAAGAATATTGAAATTGAATGACATCAATTATTGTAGTTATAATTTTAAATTTCTAGTCAAACTTATTTCACAATGATACATACAGTATATATTTTAGAAAAAAATAAAACTATTTAAATCTTATCTTACTAGTTAAATTAAAATATTAATAGATTTAGTCAAATTAATTTTAAAATTTAGTTTTTGTAATTAATTTATATATTATTCCAGACCGATTTTCAAATTTTGCGAAAATTAATTTTAATAATTGATAACTAAATATAAATATTACTAGCTATAAAAACGTTATATTAATATGTAAATTATAATTTATATTTGCAGATATTTTGTTTTTTAAACCGAAATTATTTTTTAAAATAAATGTAACGTAAAAAAGAGCTGTAAAAAGAACAGTAGGTTAGGCGCACGGCCACTGTTGTAGGTTGGAAACTAGGAAGGTAGGAAACAAAATATTATTCAATTTAAATCTGTAAGCCGCGATGAACCACTGTTTACGAAAAACGATTCTGAGCAAACGTGAGTTATATATGATTTGAAAGATCATAATATTTACAATTTTAAAAAATTACTACATTACTACATGATTTTTTTTTACCACTATAAGTAGAACTTAAAATGAACCTCGTAATAAATTTACGATAGTTTCTGTTTGTTTAAGCAATTATATCCTCATAGTACCTATAAGAAAAAAACTGCGTATAAAACTCGCAAAATTAAAATGTTTAATATTACCTCAAAAATTGCATTAATGTTTTGAACATTTTACCACGTCTAAAAAAAGCAAATATAAGTCTTTATCAAAATGTCAAATATCCACGAATATTTTTAACGGAATAACAACAAAAAAACAAAATTTAAAATAATAAAACTTTTATTTTTGTAAATTTTCCCGTTCTTCTTACGGTTTTGGTCGATATTAAAAAAAACTACATGAAAATCGAGGACCGGCTATTCACCAACTAGATCCAAAATCGAACAAAAAAGGTCTCTTGTGGTTTTTCTATTGGAACGATATTTCTATGTACAAATTTAAAATAATTCTATTTTTTGATTAAAGCAAGATTTCTGGTCGAAAATTTGTTTACAGAAAGAAATAAAACACATCATAGATCCCTCACTACTCTCTAAACCTATAATACTATATTTAATAAATATAGTATTATAATATATATTACATATATTATATTATCATATACATATTATTATTTATTTAAGTATACATACATAACCGTAATAAGATTGTTATTGTAATAATTGTTCAGAAGTGATTCGTCGATATCCAAATGGAGTCAAGCCACAAAAGAAAACATCAAATTATGTGATCTGTCAGATCAATCGTACCCAATAGACTTGCATATGTTGTCCAATACTCAGAGGCTTATCAACAAAACCACAGGAATCGAACAAATACTTATCACTTCGTCGAATGGTATCAGCATTATATTATATTATATTATATAATTATATAATAAAATGTATCTGTATTGGATGTATGATTTTGTTTTGTTTTTTTTTTTTTTTTTTTTTTTTTTTTTTATATAGGCAAGTTACATTTAATGAGCAAAACCAGTAAAATCGATAAAAGCATAGATGCTCACGAAGGCAATGTAACTGTCGGAAGATGGAGTCCCGATGGTTCTACATTACTAACAGGCCAGTAAACATAATTTATAAATATTTAAATCATTATTGATAGACGATCTCGAGCAGTATTGTATGTACCTATCGATGATTTTTTTAATGATATTTTGAGAAGTTTAAATAATTTTCATTTTTATTTTTTTAATCAAAATCATTTATTTAATCGAGGTTTAAAATTGGATACTTATATTTTATATAATTTTAAATTTGTTACACTTCATCTATTTGATTTAGTAAAGAAGTTCATTAATTTTTTTATTTTTGAATAACGATTTAATTTTTTTAAATCTTTCGGCTTATATCTATACTCACTCTTGAGTGGGTACCAAAATTTATTTCAACCATCCCCCAACATAAAGGCTACCGAAAAATACGCATTACCATACTCTATTAAGTTTAATATCCCAAATAATTATATTATTTATTAATTATTTTAATAATTTGAACAAGCCAATAAATTTAGGTAGCCAAAAAGTAAACACACAAATACACAACCATCATATAATGTCATTCAATCTAGTACAATTGTTCAACGTATAATTTGTGTTATGTTCACATAGATGAATATTCATTTTTTTTTTTTTTTTTTTTTTTTAATTCGTACCGGTTGAATAGTTTGGCAACCTACTTTTTATGCACCGGTACGATACGATCATTTATTTTATCGCCACACTTGTGGCAGTTTTTAGTATACACGGAAGCTGTAAAACCTTTAAATATTTTACAATTTTCAACAATTGAAATATCTATATAATATATGCTTTGACATTTTTTTAAAACCAATTTTGTAGGTTAAAAATATATCACAGAATAATTAACTTAGCAATTATGATCAAAGTTCAGTATTTGGTGGTTAAGATTTCTCAATACTACACTAATGAAACATAAAATCAAGGAAGAAAAAAATAGAGCTGATACTAAAGACGGGTATGCGACTGTTGCAAGTAGAAAGTTGGGACGGTAGGATATAAAAAGCTAATTAATGTAAATCTGTAAGTAACGATTAACCGTTACTAATGAAAAACGATTTGGAGGGAATTTTGGTTATACATGTTTTGGAAAACCGTAATATTTACGATTTAGTCAAAATTTTATATTGAAATACATATAAAAAACAAATACATTACATTCGATTTTTTTGTTTTTTTTGATCACTTAGTACGACTACGCAAAAAAACTCATAAGCATAAGATGCTTATAAATAGTTCACAAATCGCCAAAATTTTAGGTTGAAATATTAAATCTAATATACTATACCTAAATGTAATTAATGTTTATTTATAAATAAATATTAATTCTTAAATGTGCCTCCACCATAAAAATATATGTTTATACCTAACGCAGATGAAATTTACATTTAAACACGATATAAGTATACCACTTAAATTGTCGGTAAGTGGATATAATTATCAAATGTCAAATTATTTCTTTTTTTTGGGTTGTTTGATGCCATTGGTTAATTTCACGAACAGGCAATAATAATAATAAATCATGTGTTTTTCTATTATAGCCGGAGAGGATGGATGTATAAAGATATGGTCTCGTATCGGAATGTTGAGAACGAAACTAGTTATAAACGGTGAGCCCATATTGTCTGCCGATTGGAATTCAGATTCGTCTAAAATTGTATATACTCAACATGATATGCTTTGCATTAAGTCGTTAAAAGCGAACATAAAACCAATTAGAGTAAGAAACCTACTATATAAATGTTAAAGAATTTGTAATTTTTTTTTTTTTTTTCTAACATACACCTACAGATTCTGGGCCACAGTGATATTATACTGAAAGTATCGTGGTGTAAAGCTAACGAATTTATTGTATCGGGAGGTGAAGATTGTTATTATAAGGTGGGTAGTACTACATCCATTGGTACCTATAAATATATATATCAAAAATACTTAAAACAAATACAAAAACCACGACTTTGATCGTATAAAAGTATTGGTTTATTTGAACACATATTTTTTATAACCTAAATATTACGACCTTTTAATGTTTTAACATGTATAATCGAAGTACGCTCCGAATCGTTTTTCGTTATCAATGATTTATCATTGTTTACATGTATAAATTAAATAACTTTATATATCCTACCTTTTCGACTTCTAACCTATAACATTGGCTTATCTGTCCCAAGTATAAGCTCTTATTTTTCTTTAAAATAAAAAAGATTCTAAATAATATATTCCAAAAATTAATTAATTTAATGATACAACTATACCACGATAATTATTAATTACTTATTATTATCTGTATGGCATATAAAGTATGTTTTTACATTTGGAGATACTACGATAAAACATTTTTGTGATAGTAGGTTAAGCCCAAATTTCCACTGAATTTATAGACGACTATGAAATTGTATTAAGAAATTATATACCTATTTAAGAAAAAAAAAAAAAAAATGTTGAAATCTATTTAATCATATTGTTACACGTATACAGATAATAACTGTGCAAATTATTCAGGATTCTTCTATACAAAATCAATGTTGTATCATAGACTAAACCAAAAATAGAATTATTTTTCTTTGTCTTTATATCCGCCAATTCTAAGTTTAAATTTCTGTAAAAAGACTTAACAATTTCTTATTTAACATAACATGTTATTTTATAGATTTGGGACGCGTATGGAAATTCAATATTTGTGAGTGATAAACTTGCATATCCAGTTACATCTTTAAATTGGAAGTCTGATGGAAATTTACTAGTCGTTAGCTATTACAATACAATTCTTCTTTGTAATCAATATGGAGTAAATAATATTTTACTAATAAATATGATTTAAAATAACTAGGTGTATTATGTTATAAAAGTGAAAAATGGAGAATTTTATGTTCCAAAATATTTGACAATTAACCAAATGCAATATAAATTTATTCAAAGTGGTTGACACAGTTTGGATATTTTTGTCTAATTAATATTTTGAAAATCTGGTTTTTGCAAATAAATTACGTACAAATAGTAAATGGCCAAACGTTTATGTAAAGATTTGGCTACACAATGCAGTATTTACTTAATACAAATTCAAAAAAATAATTAGGAAAAAAGATCATAAATTTAATGAAACACTTTTTTTATGTTACATTTACAAACGTTTAAGTTTTCACGAAAGTTGCATAGTAAGTGCTTAGTAAAAATATTAGAATTATAAAAGTTGCTAATGTAATACAAACAAAAATTCTATAATAATATTTTTGGAAAATAATTTATTTTCATAAATATTACTCTAGGTTTATTTTATCTCAAAAAAAAAAAATATATATATATATTTAACATATTTTAATAATATTAATATAAATATTTAATACGTTAATTTACGTATTAGTTACAACATAATTCTATGTTATTCGATAGATTATCTTATCAACAGACTATGTTGACTGTGGTAGTGTCAATACACTTTGTTGGTCACCGGATGGTACTCAAGTAGCTGCTGCTTGTGCTAACGGAAAATTAATGGTATCCACTTTAATCGAAAGGTAAGATTGTACATTTTTTTTTATAATAAATATATATGTATTATATAGCCAATTTGTGAATAAGTATTTATAATTCAACCATTTACAGAAGTGTTTCGGAACAGAATTTTAATTGTTTGATCACGTCACGAAAGAGAATGATTGTCAAAGACATTCTAAACGAAACTAAAGAAAATCTTGATTTTCCCGAACGTATCATACACGTAGCTATGAAGTACAACCATTTAATAGTCACCACGTGCACACAGTGTTTTGTTTACCAAATGCCCAATTTAAACACTCCACAAATTATAAATTTAAAAGACACGAATGTGTTCATGATTAATTTGACAAAAAAGTAAATAGCAGTAATATATATGATATTAATTTTAACATTTTCAAGGAAATTGTGTCATGTTTTCATGTATACTTAATAAAGTAAAATTTGAGCAACGATTAGTTAGGTAGTTAGAATAAAATTTAAAAGTTATTTTCGTTGATAAATTTAAACTGAATCAGTGGGTACCAACTTTTAAGAATAGTACCTATTGTAGGTAACCTATTGTAAGTTACCTATGGTAGCTTTTTTGCTCAAATTTTAATTGATTGATAGACATCACGAGCATTTTTTAATTTTGTTTTGATAAAATTCTACGAGGCTCCGAAATTACATTATTAAATAATTAATTAAACTTTTCTTATTGTTGAAAATCAAATGTTCAAATGTCTCTAATACAAGACTTGATTTTGACATATAACTCTTCAGATAGATGTATGCCATCATAATTAATTGTCTTAATAATTATACTAATCTCGATCAAACATGAATAAACAATTCATATATTCAATTTCCAGCAAATTTACAGAATTTTTAAATTCATATTAATATATATATATATATATATTATTATATACATATTTTATATATATTATTAATATAGGTACTTTGCTGTATTTTCATTGAATAGCGTCAACATTTATACTTTTGACTGTAAATTGGTTTCGTCTCCGAAATGGCCAAATATGCAATGTGACGTATTGCAAACTAACCATGTATCTATATCTGATCATGTGTTAGCTGTAAGAGACCAGCTGAATGATAAAAGTAATTAAATAATATTAAAATAACTTCCTTGGGTGAATTTCTGATAACTAAACGAATTTTTTGTAGTGGTACACGTATTTGAAATAATGCCACTAAGTACGTTGCAAACGATAAAACACGGATTTTCTGTTACTGATATACAATTGATGTCCACCAAAAGTCAAGACAAACGTTTTTTGGCGCTGATCGATTCTAGTATGAATATATTTATCGTTCATATAGGACATAATAACGAAAAGTCTAAAACATACAAACTCGGTAGGAAAATCTAGCAGTTACCTACTGTATATTGTATAAAGGATAATCATAACTACCTACGTTTTAAATTAATTATATCCTAGGTTCCATGTTTCACAGCATGTGTTGGAACAATCAAACAGAATCGTTGGCGGCGCTGCAATACACAAATCTGATAGTGTGGTACGACCCTTTGCTTTTGTTGAACGATCAAATACTCGTGAGGAAAGCGTTGGAAAAAAGCGACTTAAGGTAAGAATGAAACCTATGAATCAAGATACCTATGAATATCTAAATATTGTGAAACATTTTCTGTTAATATTTCACTGATAGATAGATTTTTTTTTTTCGAATTTTCCATGAAAATATAGAGTACTTATTGTCATGTATTAGATTCTGAGTGGAGCAAAGAAACTTATGGTTTTACAAAGATATGTTTATTTTTTTTGTTTTTTTGTTTTATCTGTGTACAATTTTTCTACCAGAAGACTTACTCAGATTTCTAAGTGTAGTATTTTTCCCGAAAGAAAATTGGTGTGAGGAGGTACTTTGGGCAAGTCATTTTTCAATTTTCTCAGGAGTTTTTTCATCAAATTTGAAAAACCGGAAAAAAATGGGAAAATATAAAAAATGTAGGTATTAGTTGAAATATTATGGCCTTCTTTTTTTCTGTGGATAACTTTTCAACTAGCAATTTTGCTCCAGCTTTTAATGATAGTAATGTTTCTAAAAGAAAATTTCACTAAGGAGGTACTTTAGAAAGGTCATTTTTCAGTTTTCTTAGAAGTTTTCTCATCAAATTTGAAAAATCGAGATAAAACATGATAAAAGCGGAAAAAAAGTAGGAAAACTCGGAAAATCGGTACAACATTAATCAAATATTATTAAAAAAATATATAAAGCCTATTTAATTATTTTACTATAAAATGATATACATATTGTTGATAAAGCAACATTATCCACTGAACTCAGAATCGTTTTTTCGTAAGTAATATCGTTTATCGTTGCTTACAGGTATACATTAAATTATCTATAACAATAATCTCAAGCTTTTCGACAACTTTTGTCACACAACTACTATACCCTAGGATTTTTTTTTAAATCACTTGAAAGTTTATATTTTCCAGTATATAATACTTCTAAAAATTCCTAGTAAATAAATGATAAATCAAATAAATGACAATTTCGAAATGGATGGGAGGGAATTAGCGAAACGCATATGACTATAATGACGGAGCTCTGCTGCTCACGGGTATTTTTTTTTTTTTCAAACAGTTTTTACGGTAACAAGTTGAGTATCGAATCCTATTGGGACAACGTGGTCAGTATGATCAACACGGACAGCGTTAAAATATCCGTTCAGGTGTCCCCGTACTTGGAAGCTATGAAAAACTACATAGGTGCAAATAAATGGATGGATTGCCAAAACGTGTGTCGGAACGTGAATAACGAAGCCATGTGGGCATTATTAGCTGGTTCCGCTGTATTGGCTAAACAGTTGGACACGGCGGAAGAATGCTTTCTCGCTATCGGACAGAACGAACGAGCAACGTTTATCCAGCACATAAAAGTAAGTATTTTATAAATCCTTAGAATTTAGAGGTTGAATGCGTATAAATAGGTAGGTAAATCAATAGGTTAGGTGTAGATTGTTCACATTCAAGATTAGGTACATATAAAATCAGAATATCGGTTTGTGTTATAGTTTATAAACTACGTTTATGGATTTGTTTACGATTACTGGTAATCAATAACTTGATCAAATTCATATTATTATGCAATTTGGATTTACACTCAAATTATCACGATGATCTATCGTAAAATACTAGAATTCAAATTGGAACAATTTTAAAACTCTGATATTTTGAATCATAAATTATTATTTCAACGGTTATCACAGTTGGTATTTTTATAGTAATCAGCCACGAGATAAAGAATATTATTAATCCGGAAGTTAATAAAAGAAATTACAAACCTCTCAAAAACAAGTCCATATCCGATACATTGTGAGTAAATCTGGTGACAAATTATACACCTCTGAAAAATTAAGTGAAATATCGGACTGTTTTGTACAACAAAATAAAACATGTAAGACAATTTTTGTTATCAAATTCAGACAATAACTTACTGACATAACCTACGTTTATAAACTATTCATAATAATGCTGCACTATACTTTGATAAATTGTCCCTAATTAATGACAAAACATTTATAAACGTATACATTTATGGTACTAAAATATGATTTTATACAAGGATTGAATGGAATAATTGTAAAAATGCTCAAATCAAATATAAATTCATTACCAAGACCTACACATCTTTCATTTGGCCTCTTCAACAGCTATTGTTTTAAATAGTTTTAAAGTGTCCGTAATAACACTAATTTACAAAAAAGGAGGTAAATCTAATACTGATTATCACCGCCCAATCTCCCAAATATCTAATATTGCTAAAACCTTTGAAAAAATTATAAAACACGAATCAGTAACGTATCATGAGTTAAACAATTTATTATCTATATAAAAAAAAAAAAAATAATACAATATTTGGTTTAGACCTAGTAAAAATACAGAACAACCAATTGCAAAATTATATCATAGTATAGACACTATCGACCGATGACCATAACATTATTCTATTAAAGTTAAAAAAAAAAAAAAAATTCCGCATACAACTTGTTGAGACCATATTTGATGGGTCGAACACAACGAATTCGCATAAAAAATACTCAAAGTCAAATAACATTCATATCATACGGTGTACCAAAAAGGGCTACTCTTTCTCATACACTATTTATACAAATCAACCCAATAAATGAACTAATTATACATGGGAAATTAGTAAGCTATACTGACGATACGATTCCTTTTGTTGAGGGTAATTCTTGAAACATACAACATGACATATAATTATGATTGTATGCTATACCTATATATCAACTCGATGAAACGTTTATTTTGCCACATTGCATTGTCAATTCCAACAAAATTAATTTGAACAAATTATGTATTTATGATATAGACTGCATGCACAAATAAAATTTCTTGTATCAGTCAATTGTTCATAGAAACAATGAAGACTTTTAAGTACTTATATGTGTCGAAATTTGCAATGACCTAAAATGGAAAAAACACGTAAAATTAATTACGGATAAATTAAGAAAATAACTGTATGCTTTTAAGAATTTGGCCAATATACTGGGAAACAATCAACTTAGGATATTCTATCTAACTATAACTGAATCGAATCCATTATTAATTTTGGAATCTAGGACATTTTGGCGAAAGGCAATTCGGTGAAAGACATTTTGTTGAATCGTTTTTATCAAAAGGATGTATCGGTGAACGGATAATTGAAGATTTTTATGATCAGATCATAAATAAATAAATAAATCTTCATAGATATCGGCATAAAGTAAATCTATATATATTTTTATACTAAAACTGTGTAATCACATTTCATAAATTTTTAATTTTTGCATATTTTAACGTTTTATATATATATATATATATAATCATTAATTTTTTACTATTTTAAAACATTAAAATATTAAACATGCAGAATGTAGACGAACATGGTGTCGGGTGAGCCTAAAGATTTCAAGGCGGGCCATGGCCCACCCGGGACAGGCCTTGATGCCATCACTGAAAGTCTGCAAATATGTCATACTTTGATTATTGATATTATAGATAAAATAGAATTTTTTTTTTTTTTGAGCGGAAAAGTGGCACTTTCCTTGCTTTACGTTTACTCTGACCACATGCCACTGAAATACATTGCATATTGATCAGTTTGTTTTAGATCATCCGGCTCTCATGCCAAAATAAGTGTGGCTTTATACATTTGTAGACTTTATTTTGTCTAATAATAATCCAAGTGAACGAGTATTATTTTGTAATTATCTACATTGCGTTTTGGTTTTAGACATTATCCGACAAAACTGTTCAAGAATCGTCACTCGCTCTTCTAACCGGAAACACATCAGAAGCAGAATCAATTTTGCTCAGAAACGGCTACACATTTAAAGCAGTAATGTTTAACGTACAAATATATAATTGGAAAAGGTATGTGTTCGTTTGTTTTTTGAAATATTTTAAATTAATTAATTAAATACTTTCAAATAATCATAACTCTTAAGTAGGTATAGCACCAAATCCGGATCAATCTGAATCTGGATTGAAACAAACGTTACAATTCGTTTAATACAGATTATGATTATCAATTTCCAGAGCATGGGTATCAACCTGAATTTAAATATAAATCAATAAAATCATAATATCCGTTTAACTGTCCCAAGTTGTCTTTTTTGATGATACCTACTATCTAGTTTCTACTTTTTTAACACCTATCTCAGTTTAGACAACTGAACGGATTGGACCCGATTTCCGGAATGACGGATTGGATATAGAATAATCCGTATAAAACGAATTATTGATCCGAAATCCGCATTATGTAATTGTAATCTGGATTCCAAGCAGATTGATCTAAATGTTGATCTGCTCTATATATTAGGGGCCCATTAAATAATGTACACAATTCTGAACTTATAGACAAAGGTTAAATAATAGTTTTTTTTTTTTTTTTTGGTAATTTATAATTTGGTATTTTTTTGGTACCTATATTCGTTGTTTTTTTTCAGAGCTCTGGAATTGGCACTTAAACATAAAAAATACTTACAAATTGTTATTTACGAACGAAGGAACTATTTAGAGTTTTATAAAAAACAAGAAACAAGTGATCGATTTTTAAAATATTCTGATGTAAGATTTATGATATTATTTTTTTTATATAGGCCTGTGGCCTACATAACTCTATTCAGAATAAAGGCACCTACACACTTCCTACGAGTTCCGTGTCGTCTTAGATTTGTAATATAGATTATATCAAACATTTAGTAAACACACGTCGAAAAACTTGAAATATTTCAACATCACAGTTACGTTTGATTAGGTAGAAATAGTGCGATGTTACCATTCGGACTCCGGTACAAAGGGTATCGAAATTATGGTTCGACGAACCAGGGTTGTGCTCACAGGGGAGGGATAAGGGTATCATATACGGGATATGATATTACCCCATGAACTTTTTTTTTATGCATTTGTTTGAAGTTCCTTGGTAGTTTCGGTTTTTTCGCGGAAAAAAAAATAGTACATAGTTGGTTTTAATTTTTAGTTATGTTAATTATTAGCATACGTATAAAATATATTTAGTAGATACTAAAGTGATAGTAATTATCTAATTATCATAAATAATGCATACTATTTTATACAAAAAAAGGTACCAATATTTCAGTTCATTATATTCTGATATCTATTTTATAAATGCGACTATAGGCATATTAATATATTATCAATAGTATTTTATAGTTATGCAGTTTTTAGCTACGCTTTAATAAAAATTAAATATTACACACTCTTAGTTGCTTAGATTTTCAATTTATGAGAATACTTAACAAAATCTATGTAATAATTATTTTTATTAATTTAAATATGCAAACGTTGAATACGATTTTTTAATATCATATCTTGTGCATAAAACAAATTGGGATTCTTAGTACTATACATTTTGGATATATTTTACCCTCGTAGTTATGGGTACATCAAATAAAAAAAATACCGATATAGTTCGCAAGATGGATGGGCCACTGTTGGAGGTGAGAATTTGGGAATGTAGAATCTAGAGGGGAATTTAATATATTTGTGTATGCAACAATTAACCATTGCTAACGAAAAACGATTTCGGTTATGCATGTTCTAAAAGGCCGTAATATTTACGATTTTCGTTAAAATTTGATATTAAAAATCTTATAAATAAAATACTACATTAAACTCAACTTTATTTTATTAGCCACTAAGTACAACTTATAATGAACTCCCTGTTGAATTTTCAAGCATTTTTGTTTGGTCTAACAATCGTATCACAGAGTTCCTACCGAATAACTATTACGTAAAAAACTGGCAAAATTAAATGTCTATAAATAGCTCAAAAATAGCTCAAATGTTTTTTTCATTTTTACCACGTCTACAAAAGACAAATATAAGTTTTCTTTCTGAATTTCAAGTCTTTACGAACATTTGAACTGAATTACAACAAAAAAACAAAATTAAAAATAATAAAAGCATTACTTTCGTAAATTTTTCCGTTTTTTCTACGTTATTTTTCAGTTTTTCCCAATTACTATGAAGACTGCTTGGAAAATCAAAAAATGTCCTCTCTAAAACTTTAGAGACCTCCTTATTACTTAATTTCAGATCAAACTAAATAAAATTTGTTTTCAAAAATGGTGCTACACTTGAAAGTCGAAACAAGATTTCTGGTAGACATTTTTTTACACACTACAAAAAAAAAAAAACATTATAGAACCAACACATTCCCCGCTTCACTCAAAATCTAAAAAGATTAATAACCGTATCAAGTATAGTACATGCTAATTGCAAAATATGTTAACGATTCGCAAATAAAATAAAAAGGTTGAGAATTGCTGGTTTAGAGTATTCTTATTTTATTATTCTGAATAGAGTATAATAATAGGTACCTAGATTATTTTCCAAGAATGTGGTAAACAATAATAAATTATGTCCATACCTTGTCTGTTTTTTTCAGATGGAAATTAATAACGAGGACGTTTTAAAAGAAATCGAAAAAGAAAATCAACAAAATTGATGAACAAATATTGTGATTATTTGTATGCAACATTGATGATTATTGCGAATACGAAAATATACCATAAAATGAGACAGCATTGACACAATGTTTTTTTTCTAGTTTCTGGTTTATTGATCATTGAAAGGTGAACCTTTATAAAAAGTGTTTACCGATTGTTATTCTTATTATTATTATCATTATTATTCATTATTCAAATAGAAATAATTTTGCAAGATTAAAGTTTTTTTTTTAAAAAATACCTTAAAAATTTTGATTATAAAATCATTTTGTATTTAAACTCGATTTAACGATAAGTTATCCTTAAATTAAGGTGAGATAATGATTGTGTTATAACATCGATTTTTTAGAATATTCAATTAAGGAACACACGAAGGGTACCTCACACTGGTAAAGCGAAATTTCTTTAGCGGCTACACTCTCTTTATTGTGACTAAATACACACGCTATCCTCATACCATTCCTCAATCGCATCCGACCGCATTTTTTTCGGTTTTTCTTTCTCCGACTATCCTATTACGTATATTTTCATTACGGTTCTTACTGCTTGTGAGTTGTGACCAAACCATCTCAGTCTTTTTTTCTTTCAACCTATACAACCTACTAATTTATCATCCTGTCTTCTCTCGTCGTTCCACTAATCCGCCTAAGCGTTCTGTTTTCTGCTACATTCATTCTCTGTTCAATTTGAATTTTTTAATTTTAATTGATTTGATTGGTCGCATGTACTATATTTAGGCGGCACAGGGCCGTAGCAAGGAGGGGGGGGGAGGGGTGACGAGCGGTGCCTACACCCCAGGCACAATTCCCGAGAGAACGCGAAAATTAAAATATTTCATGTTAATCGTAATTTCCATTGATTTAGGCTCGTTTATAGATGATTAGATAATAATGATTGCCGGGAAATAATTTCCAATAATAATAATAATAATATAAATTAAAAACCAATACCTAGTACAATCCGTCATACATTGGTACGTATCACCAATTGATATACACATTAATTATTTCTTAATTCGCAAGTACGTATGTATATATATATAGACTACTTGGAATTAAACTAAAGATAACGACGATAACGTATATTACGAATGTCAGTTCCGTCGAATTTCACATCAAAATTATCCGAATTTATTGTAAATATCCATGACTATTTTTACTATAAGCATTACATTAAATTTTCAATCATTTCTATTTTGTCTAAGGTTATTTTATCTACGAGTACCTACAGAATAACAATTACGTACACAACTCGCAAAATTAATGTCTATAAATAAATAGCTCAAATATTTTGAACATTTTACCGTGTCTATAAAAGGCAAATATAAGTTTTCTGTCTAAATTTCAAGTCTCTGTGAATATTTTTAACCGAATTATAACAAAAACAAAATTGAAAACATTAAAAGCATTATTTTCATAAATTATCCCGGTTTTCTAACGTTTTATCACGGGCATTTCCAGATATTATGAAAACCGCTCGAAAAATCAAAAAATGGCTCCCTTAAAAAGGAGCCACACATACATATCGAAGCAAGATTTCTAGTAGAAATTGTTCACAGTATAAAAAAAATCAATATCGTTGTAACACCAATACATTCTTTGCTACATGCAAAGTCTAAAAAATAAACAATTCTTACTTTGTAAAAATATGTGACTAAGTAAAAGTAATACTACGTTAACATTTTTAAACTACCGAATAAACTACTTTTACTTTATACATTGGAAACAAATAAAAAACAAAATATGAGTTACTAGGAAATGGAAATATTATGTAATCACTAATCTGAAATCTTCATAAATTAAACCAGTATAATAACTGGTAGTTGATATACGTATATACAGTTAGTAAATATTATGTGCATAAATTATGCATTTCTACAGGCTTATTTTTGCCACTATTTTAATTATTTTTCATATTATTTATAAAAATAAATATTACATTCAAACAATATTTCAGGTAACCGAAAATGTTTGTTCTTAAATTCAAAATTTGACAAATACGGGAAGAGCAATATAATTATATTTACCCATACACAAAAAGTTCTCCTCCTTGGAGAATTCCTGGATCTGCCTCCGTGGTAGAATACATCGCGGAAACGGTTCCGAGCCTAATTCCGCTTTTGTAAGTTAATAAACAATCGAGTATTATAGTACAATCGACGCCTGTTAATACACCTCTATCTTAACTCAAAATTCTCAAGTTTTCTAATAAAAACTTTTTATGAGTTTAAATTTTAAAATTTTTTCCATTTATGTCCTGAAACAAATAAAAAAATAATCAGGTAACTCGGATGAAGCTGGATGAATTAGTAACATATTCACATAGGTGCAACTAGGGTGGGGGGGGGGTTGGGGTGCTTGGGGGTTCTAATGCATCCCAGACATTAAGTTAGCATTCCCGGTCCAAAAACGACAAAAATTGAAAAAAGCAGTGTGAAAAAAGCTGTGCTAGGAAAACGGAGACGGGTGCAGCCACTGTCATAGGTAAGTTGATGAATAATTGTAATTGAAATCGGACCGGGAAGGTACTATAAGGAGGTAATTTTTCGATTTTCTCATCAAATGTGAAAAACCCGGAAAAAACATCGGAAAACCGGGATAAACGTAGGAAAAACGGGGAAATCGGTACAATACTAAACACATATTATCAAACACAATTAAGGTTAGGTTGGGTTGGATATAAGGTTGTCCGAATGTTGGGTCCTATGGCGAGTTTCCCGGCGACGGAATCCACGAAGCAACAGTCCATATTTTGTTTGTTTGTTGAACCGTTGGTCAACGGCGTTTCCAATATTTACCTATTAAAATCCAATTGTACGAATAACGAGGTAGATGTTATTATTGCTTCAGGCGGCCGGGCTCACGGGGTGATGAGGGGAAGGGGTCGCATAAAATTTGGTTCACACGGACGCGAGTGTTTGGACATACGGGTTTCCTGTACATCGTTCACACAGCGCGCGCTGTTCGCGGCAACCGAGCAGGTCGCTTGCCACTTGGTTCGCAATGCTGTAAACATCGATAAAGATCAACGGTGACCAACATTTGTTCACAGAGGGTGGGCCAAGAATTTAAACTTTTACTTTTGAGTTAATTGAATATTATATTTTTATTGCGCAGGTACATCTCAATATGTACGGATACAGTGATATATTTAATTATTTATTATGCGTTGATCGTTATATACAAGAACAAATTTAAAGTATGTACACACGTTGTTTTTAATGTGAGTGTTCATTTTTGAAATTTGAAATTATTGTTTTTTTTTTTTTTTTCCGATTTTGATTTAATATCTGTTGGACCGCTTAACGGATAATCGCGGTCCGTAGTTGGTCGTCCACCGTTGTACACAATAGAGTAGACCGTACGGTTGGCGTGCGCGTAGAGGCCCGTGGAGTGAAAACTGCGAGAGGAGAGGCCATGGGGTAGCGACACACGGGCCATTTTTTTCGTCACGTGTTTTACACGCACGTTCCACATTTCCAATTAAAAATTAAAACTCATCATTGTTAATCGAAATCGTATTTTTGTATTCGTCTGCTGTAGTCGCCGGGGAATTCAAGACAAACGACGTATAAAATTATATGCCCATCAGAATATGTACAGTACGTTTGTTATCTTATCGGCCCGATCCGCGACGCAAAGGCAATAATTCCCGGAATTGTTTCAAACTCGTTACGCGCCGCTGTCGCACTGTCGCACTCGTTGTAAGTTTAGCCATCGTGCACGTTACGGATATTATTGTTATTCATTTGAAACAGCCGGAGTGTGCGTAGTGCATGATAACGGGGCCGCAGTCATTTTTCGTCCGATACAGTCCAAATAATGCAGTCATTTTGCACTAGGGTTTTACCGGGATGCTGTCGGGGGGCCCGGGGGTTTTTTTTTTTTTTTTTTTTTCTCAAAATTCCGATAAACACTCTTTTTTCGCTTTTTCAGTTCGCGTACCGTGCCGCCGTAAAAATCCCGGTTTCACCCCCGAGTGATTCACCCTGACCCCCTTCTCCCGTCGACGGGCGTGCACGCGCGTTCCACAGCGTTTGGTCGCGGTGACGCGCGTTCGTATTACCGCCGTTTCCAATCATTCGCTACGGAAATACGGAAAGCGACACCGATTCGTTATCGATCAAAAAAGTTGAAAAAACACGTTCAATCCGTCTTATCCAAAAGGTCTTCAAACGATTTAAACGACGTTCGGAAATAATTGAAAAAGAATTTGCATCATGTCTCTAATTATGATACCTAAGTTCCGGCTGTAATTCAAAGGCGCTTTCTAAGAGTAATTGCACATAAGCCTGGTTGCGTTGATGTCTCCCGACTGGAGGCCACAGCTACGGATTTAGGTCTTGAACCGTTGGCTTCCGGGCGGTTGTTTAACGACGTGGCTTTCGCGCATAAATTAATTGATAACAGATTTTCATGTGCCGAATTTTTAAAAAGAATAAACTTTAGGGTTCCAGCCTTTGATTCTAGGAATCACAACGTATCCAATCTGTTGCTCTACTAATGGCATCAAGTTCAGCCCAAAGTACCACGTTTTAGATTTATGTAACACTGTACCAAATTTTGATTTTTCCCTTCGATTTATTATTTAAATTTAAAAAAAAAAAAAAAAAAAAAATGTATTACACGACTAAACTTAATTAGCCTAGTATCAATTGCATAGTATTCACTATGTATACGAATAATTGTACGTTAGTGTGTTATAGGTAACTTCAAACTATTTTATTCTGTATAAATGTCTTATTGTCATGGCACGGTACAATTTACACCTTTGGGATGTTAAAACAACAATAAATCGATAAATTAATAAACAGTGTAACGTGATGACTTGAAGAGATTCTGGTTTTTAAAATTGGACGGACCCGATATTTCCTCTTTCCGCTTTGCCCGCGTCTGCTCATCCTTCGATATGCCGCCCACAAACGTAATGCGTCCGACACGTCTGTTCCCGTGGAATATAAAACACACGTAGGTGCAACTAGATCATCAACTTTGGGGGCGACGGGGCGCTAAAATTATGGACACACCGCGGACCCGTAGGAGCTATGGCTCCCACAATCACTTTTTACGCGACTTTCACGACAGTCAACAACACCTGTCATTTAAAATTTTGTTCACGTATCCATTTATCATGACTATTTCAACGTTACTTTTCGTACACACAGACACATGCAGTGTATCTGCAGTTTGTGAAGCTCATTAATTGCGAAATACGTGGTCACAAATACGTTTAGCCGTTACTAGGAAAAAGCTGATTGGGTTTTTTTTTGTTTTTTGGGGGGGGGACGGGGAGCTAGTTTTAAACTCAGGTGATGCTAAAGACCCCCGCGGAATCCCCTAGTCGCGCCTATGACACACAGCACGTATACCGAATGTTTCGAGTGCGACGCGCGCCCATGCGAACCTACCCTAATAGTAAAACCAACCAATTTCTCATTTTTTTCGCGATCTGAAAATAGAGATAATAATTTCTGTAGCGAACCCGATACCTGTACGGAAAATTCGACGGAAAAAAAAAATATATATATATACAAAATGCCCGCCATATAATTTAGCGCAAAATAATGCATTAAGTTAAAGTTGATATTTTTGGGCGGGCACGAGATATTTTATATTAATGCGCCAACTTGACCTATATTTTTCACCGATTTCCCCGTGCCTGTAAAACAGCGGCCTACCCGTAGTGCGAACTGCGCAGTACAAAGCCACCCCTAGGTACCTGTTTATAATTCGATTTTTTTATTTTTTTTCAAAAATATATGCATTAAGTAACACGTAGACATGCAATAGATAATATTATTAGTCAGGCATTCTCCATTTGTGATTTTGAATCGTGTATAGTGTGGCGAGTTTAGGTCCGTTTGTACTTCACTATTGCGCGAGAGTTTATTTGCATACAAACAAAAATATTGTGAAACAGTCACACTGTCTGAGCAGATCCGTGACCGTGTTCCCGGTTATAGATAAGAATAGTTATTACGCTGTGACAACCACGGCAAAACGAAATTGGATGATAGCAGTTCCACGATAACAGTAGTATTAGTCTGGCACTCTGGCTACCGGCTAATGGTCGTTCCCGAGCAGAGTGTGTTATACACAAATAATTATTAATATTTGCGCATTTTGATTTTTACACACATTATATTTCATCATTGACTATTGTCGGCTGTATTATATTTGTTCGACGTGACACCTGCACGACCGTTCGTGATAAAAACTGTTTAACTTTCTCCAATTCGTTTGTTTGTGTTTTCAGAAATTCAGTTATCCATTACTTTGTTGAACCTTAGGTATTGTATAAAATCAAAAATATAAATTTTTGTTTGGTTATTATCGTTATTCAATTTAGATTTTTAATAATATTGTATGCGCTGTTATTATAGAACACAGTTTTCATATAATATTTTTCAGGTATTAATAGCAATTTAATAAATACGTGTTAAATTGTATAGGTTGTTATCAGTAAATTATGCCAAACCATAATTTTTCGATGTATAAATTTAAACCTTTCCATTTTACGGTACTAAAGAAAAATCACGATCCATTCAAATTGCCTTTAGCAAGAAGCGGTCACCGTGTAGTGTGTACTGATGAATATTTGATTTCATACGGAGGTTTTAACCCACAAACAACTGTAAGAAAACTTTTTCAATTTTAATTGTTTTATTTGAATTTAAAAAGTATCTAATAGAGGAAAACGTTTTTAACAAGCACTGACCTGCCTTTAATCGTTTATATTTCTTTCAATAAACATATTACATATTAATGTTGATTTTTGGTTATTTAGAATGCTAATGGTGTACGAGTGTCATCAGCTTTGCGTGAGCTTTGGAAATATTGTTTTGATTTAGGTGAATGGAAAATAATAATGTGCCAGGACGTTCCACAGGAATTAGCATCAAGTTCAGTTACACTGTCTGGTAGTATTATCATTATATATGGAGGTACTGGTGTTCCTTTTGGTGCTTTTTGTAGCAACCGCATGTTCTTGGGTAAGATTTAAAAAAATATTATTATAAACTGATACTATTATTATTTATAATAATTCCAGGGAATTTGGCAAATGAGTATGAACTTGGCGGAATGAAATTTGAAGAATTACAAGTATCTGGAGCTATTCCAATGCCATTATATGGCCAAGGTGTTGTGATGGATGGTAAATATATTTTCTCGATTGGTGGTACATCAGGAAATCAATACGAAATGGACGTTCACCGACTCGATCTGAGTACCAGAGAATGGGAATTATTATACCATGCACGCGGGGAAGTTCATGAACCTGAACCTAGATATCGTCACGAAGTGGTATTCTATAATGATAGAATATATATATTTGGAGGCGGACGAGGAGGACCCAATAATATTTACTACGGTTTTTCAGTTAGTATAAAATATCTAATGTTATATCTTTTTTAATTATACATCCACGATACACCTACATTGTATTAAAATTAAAATTTTAACAACTGTGTCACCTTAAGAGGTAAATTGATACTGAGCTAAAAAGCCAAAATATTTCTTCCATACCATTTATCAGCATTGTGTAAATTAAACATTTATTTTTTTTTTTTTTTTTTTTTACATTTTAAATGCAAATCATTTTTGGAGAAAGGTAAAATATTTATAATATGCAAACTCTTGACAAAAAAAGTGATCTTGCAACTGTATCAAGGTGATATTTTAGATTCAGAGCATAGCGAGGAATATTTTAGTTTTTCAACAATTTTTTTTTTTTTTTACTTGTTAGCAATTTTTTTACCGAAAATCTTCCTCTGATGTATCAATTGTTGCATCTTTTCTCATAGGACATTTTATCTAGTTAGTAATTTAGAGAGGTTATTTTCAATTTCCCAAGTGGTTTTCATAATAATTAACGTACACATATACGAAAATAAACGTACATGTACAAAAAAAACTTTACTCCAAATCCTTTTTTGTTAACAATGTTTATCATTGTTACATATTTGTTTATAAATTAAATTTCCCTCTAAATTGAATCTTACCAACTTCTCGCCTAAAACAGTGGCCTACTCATCATGCAAAGTATATCTGTCTTTCTAGTTTATATTTTGCCAAGATACCACTTTTAGATTAAAAGATATAAAATAAAAAATAAAAGTAAATTTCAAAAAAATTGTACTTTTTTATTGAAATTGTGCGCATTATGAATATGTTATGGTAAAGTAAGACTAAGGTCCCTTCTCACCAATGTAAACATTGATTTTTAAACTGATTTTATAAGATAATTAACCAATCGTGGTCGGTTATTAGCCATAAACACAGTTTAAGAATCAAATAAATGCCTTTTTTTTTTTTTTATGTTGGTAAGAACGGCTATTAGTCAATCCTAAGTTTTACTAACCACTGTCCATAAATGTTTAAATTTTGGTAAAACCCTGAAATGATTTTAGTAATTTTTAACAAACTAGTTGTTTATCCTAAAATTTACCAAATTTTGTTTGTAAAATCTAAACTACAAAAAGACAAACATACTTTAGACATACAATGGGTGGGTCACTGTTTTAGGTGAGAAGTTGGGAATGTACTCTATAAAGGGAATTAAATGTATTTTTGTATGTAATGATTAATCATTGCTAATGAAAAACGATTTGAAGGGAAGTTTGATTTTAAAACTTATAAAAAAAATAAAATACTAAATAATACTCTATTATTTTTACTACTAAGTACAAAATTTAATGGATCTCTTGTTAAATACTCAAGCATTTTTCTTTGTACTAATAGTTTTTATCTACAAAGTTCCTACCAAATACAAATTATATGCAAAACTCAAAACTAAAATGTCTACATATAATAGCTCAAAAGTGGCTTTTATTTTATCACGTCTAGAAAAGGCCAATAAAAGTTTGCTATCCAAAATTCAAGCATCTAAGAATATTTTTAACTGAATCACAACAAAAAAACAAAATTGAAATTAATATATTTCGTAAATTATCTTGTTTATCAAATTTTTATGAAAAATCAAAAAATGATCAACCAAAAATAAATTCTTTTCAGGAAACGTTCTACACTTGAAAATCGAACCAAGTTATCTGGTAGAAAATTTTTTTACAGATAAAAAAAAATTAATAAACATTGTGAAACTAATTCCTTGCTGTTCCGAATCTAAAATTATTTTAGTTTTTACCGCTAACCACTACCACTTTTAACTACTATCTTATTTCTTCTCTTTAATGTAATTAACATTTTCTTTTGTGTTTAACATATAAGTAAACACTGTTTATTATATTGCTTGCTATATTCTGTCCCACAAAAAAACACAACTCGCTCATGCATCAAAATAAACACGTTCCACCATTTCATGGTCAAATTCTCCCATCATACAATTACTGGTCAATTTTGGTATATTTAAAGATCGAACAAAATGTTTCATATATTTTTTAAGTACTGAATATTATTTTTTGTGTGTATAAAAAACAATTTAAAAATAATATCAATAATGCATCAATAGAGTATTTCTAATTACCTTTCTTGAACTATATTGATGTATGTACTAATATTATTATGTGTCTATAGAAAATCCATATGTTTGATTTGACCATAAAGCAATGGGACTTTCTCCCTGCTAAGCAGGATCACAAGGTGCCAAGACCTGGTTATCCGAATAACCGAAGTTGTCATAGCTGTGTTCAGTGTCCGGAAAATCCCAATCTGGTATATGTATGCGGCGGTTTCAATGGTTTACGAGCATTTAACGATGTTTGGCGTTTCGATTTAAACACCTTGCAGTGGGAAAAACTCACCAAGTGTACTTTACCTCGACCTGTATATTTCCATTCAACTGCTGTAACACCTGCTGGTCGCATGTGCTGTTATGGCGGAATTGTTTCAGCGGATGATCTTCAAATCGCTGGTGGTCGATCAAATGATATAACTAGTGCATGGATCACAATACCCAAATTGAAAATAATCAGTTGGGAAGCTATGGTTCATTATTTTAAAGAACAGATGTTTGAATCTAGCATTGAACAATTAAAGAAAATGGGTTTGCCTCGTGAATTTTATAACAGAATAATTGAAGCTAGGAGAATCAATCCTTCGCTCAGACAATGATTTTAGTCAAATTAAAAATAAATGACTTTGACAATGTTTGATAGAATGTAAATATTATTATTGAATGTATAATTTTCAAAATTGTCACCATAAACTTAATTATTTAATTATTGTTGTTGTTTATTATCCTGAAAATAATTTCCAACGAAGAAGATAATACAACAAGAAAATATTCCTATCATTGTAATTTATTGTAATTTATAGATTTTAGTTGAATCTAGTGCTTTAATATTTTTTAGTTATTTAAACTTAATTATGAAGAATAATTATGTTTTGGTAACATTAAATGTGATTAAAATATCAAATGGTTTTTCTCCAATTTATTACTACTTCCAAATTTAAAACAAATATTTTAATAATTATGGACTCTAAGTACAATACATTGTTTTTTTTTTTTTTTTAGTAAATAAAACAAAATAATTGTTTTTATAATTAGTGTTAATGTAACCACAATTTGTTGAACATAACTATCACTTCTATATTTATAATGCAGTTTTAAAAATTATCTTTGTATTATTGATATTGTTAATAATTATAATTAACAAATTTATGTACTTTTAATATTATTTACAAGTTACAATTTGTTTTGTCAAAAAAAAAAAAAAAATTATGTACATATATAATATGTGTACAGTATATCAGTACACACATTCACAATAATCTGGTAAATTATTCATTAGCCAAATTGAAAAAAAAAAAACATCACAGAAAATATTCACTATAATAAAATGCCTTTGGTTTATATACAATAAATTTATAACATAGATTCTAATAAAATAGAATTAAGCATGAAGTAAAGTGTGTTAATTTCACCCAACTCATGATATGCAGTCTGTAAATTGTTTGGCTAATTTGCATGATTTTGATTCTACATTCTGAATGGCGTTCCTAGGTGCAGATGATCTGTGAAATATCAGAATACAAATATGAAAAATAGTTTGAGACAAATCATTTTGTAGATTTTTTATTACAAAATTATCAATTCCCTTACCGATTGTGAGCCATATGGCTTTGTACTAAGTGACCAGCAGTTAAGGCTGACATCAATGAAAGTTCTCCTGCTAAAACTGTTGCACAAAGAATACGCGCTAATCTTTTAGCATTGTCTCCAGGAGTTTGAGAGTGTGGTCCTCGAACACCGAGCATTTCTAAACATGCAGATTGACCGGGTAATGCAGTCCCACCTCCAACAGTACCGATCTCAACGGATGGCATTGTACATGAAACGTATAGATCATCGCCAAATGCTTCCATAAGAGTCATACAATTGCTACTTGCTACATTTTGAGCTGGGTCCTGTAAATCGAAAGTTATATAAATTAATAGTTACACAAATTGTAAAAAAAATGTTATTTACTTGTCCAGTAGCAATGTATATAGCTGTAACGATGTTGGCTGCATGGGCATTATTTCCCCCAATACTACCAGCTATTGCTGATCCCATGAGATTTTTACTGATGTTAACATCGACCAATGATGCTACTGTAGTCTTCAATACATCTGTGACGATTTTTGATGGTACAATGGCTTCACTTACAACATACTTCCCACGACCTTCAATCCTATACAACAAAACGTGTGTTTAATAGTAAAAAACATATTTTTATGGTTTTATACAAAACAACATACCAGTTGACTGCAGCTGGTTTTTTGTCTGAACAAAAATTACCACTTAGGCTTAAAATTTCCATATCTGGGAAAAAGCCGCCAATAATTTTTAAGGATTCTTCTGTTCCCTATTAATAGTAATATTAGTACTATTTATAGTATAATCATAATATATATATATATTAGATTTTTAACTTACTTTGGATAACATATTCATGCCCATAGCATCACCAGTAAACGCTGTAAACCGAATAAATAAATGTCGACCAGCTATGCGTACAAGTAATTTTGTTAATCTTGCAAATCTGCTAGTTGAATCGAATGCAGACTTAATTATTTTAAAATTATCTGGATTATCCATCCATAATTTTGCTTCGCTAAAATATAATGTAATGAAAGGTAGTGTTTTTAAAATGGTTAGTGATTGCAGAAATGGAATTTCTATAAATACCTAGCAGTTGTGACTGAAGAAAATCTAACAACTGGTCCTCTAGTCATACCATCGTCCACAACTCTAGTTATAACACCACCACATGATGTCAATGCTCTACATCCTCTGTTAGTGCTGGCTACTAAACAGCCTTCAGTTGTCGCCATAGGCACTTGATAAAATACATCGTCCACGAGTAATGGTCCAGCAATCCCAACGGGTACAGCAACGTATCCTATTACATTCTCACAGTTTGTCCCCAAAACCTATGGGTTGTTGTTACAGTATTAAACAGCCAAAATCAAAATATTTAATTCATCATTTAGAATATTGACTTACTTTTGAATAATCATAACCAGTGTATGGTAATTTTATTAAAGCTTCTGTTAAATTACTTTCTTCTGCAATCACTTTTCTTCTTAGACCTACACCCCTCTCTGGATTGTTGACACATTTTTCCAACATGTAAGGTTTTATATGATTTGATTTGACCAACATCAACACTTCTTCATCATTTAATTTTTCTGCCGATTTCTAAATAAATAATTGAAAACAAACAAAGAGTTGTGTAGTGTGGACAACAGTTAATAATTTATGCAGTTTATATAACAAAATAATTAAAGCATCTTGTTTAATGTATATGTTTTAATATGAATAACAAAATAAAATGATAAGTGTTAATATCAGGAATAGTTCATAATATTATAGTTGCAAATTCTTTCACGATTTGCAGTTATTAATTGTAGTTATGTAACAGTTATACAAGTAATAGTTATGTTACTTTTATAAAAAAGACATATTAAATACACAGTAATATTTTTTTTCGCCTATTAAAAAGGAAACTAATAAATTTCAAATATAAGAAGTTTTTTTTTTTTATGAAAAGAAGCAATAATAAATCAATACTTATTTATTAAAATCTCAATAGAAATTATTTTTTAAAATGTCAACAATTTGTACAATACTAATATTTTTTACTTCATAAAACCTTAAAATAAAACACAATTAAATTTATGAATTTAATTCATTACTCTATACAATTTTTTTTAACATTCACAAATTATTGGTTGTGATTACACCAACAAAAATAAATGGATGTACAAATAATTAAAATATTATAACCATTTTAATATTTCAAAAATTAGCTAAGTGAGTATCAACAAACTACAGATTTCAGACACATTTATTTATAATATTATAGTTTAAGTATAAAAGTAGTGTATAAATAAATTTACCTGAGTTTTATATACAATTAAACATTCATCTATAGTTCTGATTTCCATATTGTTGTTATCAGACACAATAATATCAGAGTCAGCCTTTTCAGTTTGAATCATTTTATTTGATGTTATTGTTGATAATTTTTTATAATCAGTTTGGGTTTCTGTATGTTGAATATTTTTAACAGGTACACTTTCTGAATTATCTGAGCGAAAAAAAAATATATGATAAATTAATATTATTTGTTGAATAATATTAATTGTGTGCCTATGTATTAAATTAACTATGAGTTTATGAGGAGACAGATTAATATTTGTAATAATTAATAAAATAATGATAATGAAAGTAACATTACAATCTTGTGAGGTCAAGATTAAATTGAAACTGAAATGATTCACAAAGTTAATAAAACATATATATTATGTCAGTATGAAGCTTATTTATGTTTTATAAAATAAATGCCAATATTCCACTTACCGGATTTATTTAAATGTCTATTCACCAGTACGTGGCTTGCTAGGTCATCACGGTCACTGAAGAACCAGAACCAGACTATCATAGATAGTAAAAGAATCAATATAACTATATGTTCGAATCCACAAGCCATCCAACTATGGGAAAAAAGTTTAATATTAGCTTTATATGTTGATATTGTAAATATAATTGGTGAGAACATTATAGTTATTTAAAAATATATTTTGAAGTAAACCTGTGGAAACCTTGAATTTACATATCAATTGTGGTAACTTAAAAAGCTATACAATTTTCTCAAATACATAACGTGCACACTTATCTTCATAAAACTTATTTATTTTTATTATATTATTATTCTAGTTTATTTGATTAAATATTATCGTAATTTGTATAAACTTTATTATTATTATTATTATTTTCTTTCTAAATCAGTGAAACAACAATTATTATTTGATGTCAAATAATTGTTAATTTAAAACTTAGCATGCATTTGGGTGTGAAATTTAGAATTTATCTAAACCTAATTTAAACAGGGTTATTCTATACACGAACAACATAACAAGATGTGAAAAAGTCTCAATTTTTTTTGACAATACTAAAGTGTTTAAATCCAACATTGTATAACTTTGATTAACAAAGGTGGTCTCATCATTAAATTATGCTAGATTGAACATAACCTCACTACATATTTCACATCAGACAAAATATACTTTGCTTTTTTGTTTTGTTTTAATCAATTTGATACATGTTTATATATATAAACCAATAAAGAGTAATTTTTTAAACTTCAAGCTTAATTCATTTATATCCAAAGCCAAATACAGATGTTTTTATGATATTCATATCTGTTTAAAAAACTTTGGTTTTTTTTTTTTTAACTTAGAAAATTACATTAGGTAGTGATTTAAACATCCTAAACTTAATACTTATATTATTTGTTTTATTGGGGGACATGGTAAGAGCCTGCACGTGGCGTCCCCTGCATCGCGATATACGACTCCAGACCAGGATATAATATCGCGAACTAATCTTACCAACACCGGTGCTAGAATGCCTAGACATTCAAAATCAAAAAGGCCCTTTATAGGGCCACTCCTACCTCCCGGACACGATAAGAAGAAGATTTGTTTTATTTCCTATCTACTTTAGAAAAAAATAGCAACTAGGTACTCTCAGTTTCTGAAAATTTAAAACCATATTGTTTAATCTTTGTATGTTTACTTAAATAAAGTAATCTTATGGTAATGTACAGAGTGTAAAATTATTTCAAACAATCTATGTCTGAGATTCAATAGCATGTACATGTAAGAGATAATCTCGTGACTACACATTCATAGATACTTACTGCACAATAGAGCTATGAACAGTACAATGATTGTTTTCTTCAGTTTCATTAAATACAGCAAATTTTGTAACTTGTATTCCCAAGATATTATCTGCTTCCGTCTCCATACCGCTCAGTGCCCACCGACTAAAAACAAGTTGACAAGTTAGTAACATCACTAAAAATAAAGACAAACTGAATGCTCTTTTTACTAAGAAAATATACAAACACACTAACACAAAAATATTATAAGAATAAATTTCTTTGTCCTATTCTAAGAACATAAAACTATTTTTTCTTGATAAATAAATAAATGTATTTATACAAAAATATAGATTTGTATAGGATAAGTAAAGGTAGGTAGGGTGTTTCTTATGTAAATCCTAGACTATTTTTAAATTTATGAATGAAAACCATACCTCTGCGCATGAACAATCATAACACCAACTGACATTATCACCTTAACACGTTGTGTGATTGGATCAGATTTGTGATCAATGCAAATGGCTGTTATTTGAGATCGATCACCCCAAAATGGCAAACCATTTTCATCTCCTCCTCTCAGCAACTATTGATTATATATTATATTGTTATTAAAATAATATATTAATAAATAAATAATTAATTTAACTAACCAAAAATAACTTACATCCAGTACAAGTGACAAACAGGCGGGATAAAAACTCATCATAACCACATAGTTGACAATAAAAGACATGCATGTAAACATACACAGTGTTTCTAAACGTTGAACGCCCGAGAGCATTCCAACACTTATAACAAGACTGCACACAATAGAATCCAAAGTAAATGATGGACCTAGTAATGACATGCCTTGGGATATATTGGTGATCACTTCAGTTTGTGAACAACCACTTAAAGCATATTGTGCTAAAAGACTAGCTTTTTTCAAATTAACAAGTAAAACTAATAGGAACAAAAACATTGCATCTCTGTAATAAAAACAATAAACATTAATAAAAATTAGGTAAAAATAATAATTGTATTAAAAACAGAATCAGCTATACTTAAAATACGGTGTTCAGGGATAGTACAGTGTTACACCAAATGTTTTTAATTATAACTGATTTTACTTAACCAAATTAATGCTTACTTTAAGTCTCCGTTTAAGTAATGAATTACAATAGTACTAAAAACAAAGCTGGAAAATACTGTAAATATGGCAGCAATACCTAAAAATAATTAAATATTATAAATACAATAAGCTAAATATATTAAATTAATAAAAGGCATCAAATTTTTATAAACATTAATTAATTTGCTTTATTTTATTATAAAATTCATCTGCAATTTATTAATCAAAAAAGTAGTTTTAATATGATTTGTATTATTCCGTTGATAAAATAGAGAAATAAAATTAACTTTGTTTTCATAAAATAATACACTGCATAAAAAGAAAGTGGAAGTTGGTTAAACGTGTCTGAGGTAACTGATGAAAGCAAAATCAAATGGATCATGCAACCATTCATTAGTCATCAAGAGGTAGGTAAAAATTTCGATAATTATTATTATTTAATAAACACTTGAAAATATAATTTTCAATAACAAAAAATATGTTTGGTTTTTTTTTTTATTATTTAATAATTTATTACTCCAATTAAATGTATACATTTAAAATAGTTGAATGTAAATAAGTTGTTTTTATATTTATACCAAATAGATAACATTACAACTACAATAAGTACTTATTACCAGTGCCGTGCCAAAAAAATTTACCCATGTGCAAAAAAAAACCTAAACCTGTTCGTTGAAATTTTTAATGTCCATCAACCTGTTAACGAGATATTCCACTTTTAAGTTTAGCTAGGTGGAGAGTAGTGGAGCATAATATAGTAATACATGAAGCTATTTAAAAATTAAAAGCAGGGTTCACTATTAAAAATAAGGGTAAGAAAAAAAAAATCCTTTGTCCCGAGATAATGAATATTTTAACGAGGATTGATCACCCTGTATGTATCAAGTTTAATTGATTACTTTAAAAACAGTTACATAGTTTTTATATAATATATATATATATAATATTTGTTTAATTGGCGTTGCTATAAATACATTTAAAATTAAAAATTAAATTTATAGCAATTTGAGAAAATTTCAACAGTTGTATTATACTAAACTCAGTGAGTGCTTGAACTGTTAGTACTGATAAGTATATATAGATTTGTGTATGCTATTTACATTATTACTGCACCATAAGATGTAAACATAAAAATGTACCCACCCAGTTATTTTTTATGTTCTCATTTTTAACATTTAAACATAGTTATTTTAAAATTTACAAAAGTTAACTGAATCACACTAGATACCTAAATAATTCCTAAATAAGTGTGTTTTAATGTTTGACTACACTACAGTGTTTTCTGATATATATGGTTTTTATTCTATAACAGCTACAGACACTTAAACGGTAAACCATATAAGGTGTTTTTATTTTATTTTTTTTAAAACCGAAACTTATATTAAGTGTAGTCTATATATAGTCCACATTAAAAATACGATGAAATAAATATACGTGAAAATAAGTGTTTATTTTAAATAAACTCGCATATTATTGTAAACTATGTTCTGTGTATGTATTAGTCATGAAAGAGACTTCCTTGGCGACTAATAAAACCAATCACCTGCGTCATAAAGAAAATATGGCGATCATATTATATAATAATATTATCTTTAAAAAAAAAAAATTATTTTTCGGACCTTTTTGATAATAAAAAGAAGGCTATATCAATCAGGGAGTTTTAATCTCGACAGTGAGCAAAACAATGAAACGTAAAACTTACATTGATAAAAATAGTGTTTAATCAATTTATTGACCTTGTTTTTATATTATGTTGTACTAATAATCATCATGCATCAATAATTGGTTATGGAATCAATAAAATATGTTTACTTTATTTGTAATATTATCAAAAAGGCCGCGTCTAGTTCGCCTAGTAAAGGGTCTAGAGTTCTAGACGACGAACCATGTAAAATATTTTACTGTTACGAAAAAGAAACATTGACACGTACACACACACATTTTGTTTCTAACATTTTCCGTAGCGGAATTAATGTAGGTAAGTAGTCTTACCTAAAACGTATTTTGAATTCAACTGCCTGAGATTGTTGAATTGATAATAGCAGAATAACATACATATACATCTTATTAAGGTCATGAAAATCACATCGATGGCGTGCGATTCGTCGTCCTGTGGGCATAATATATTTTTTATTATTACTAAATCGGTATTATGTTTTATACACACGACAAAAAAATTTGAAAATTATTATTATCATAATCGAAAAGACAATATTATTATTATCATGAATAGGCATACTAACAACGATCTTTGTGTTGTGTGGTATGTTGTTTGGTACGGTCGACATTGATGGATCAGACGTGTTGTCCATAGACAGCATACACGCCGTTACGGTTAGTACGCCCACGATTACTTCCCAGGGATGGCTGGCACAACCTTTGCCAATGCCACCGAACACGTTGTCGAACATATCTACGGGACCTGGCCAAAAACAAATTAACAATTATACAAATATTGTGAGTATATATCTTTGGTCCCAGGGATATATACTATGTGCAATGTGCATGTATATTCTAACAAATGTTATAACTACTGAAAATTAAAATATCTTAAGCGCTATTATGTAGGTACCTACTTTATGTTGGGCGAAAAAGGCGTAGTCGTGTAATATTACATTATGGCTTAAGACATTTAGTTTAGGCCATTTAGAAATTTAGCCATTCAGTCGGCTTGCCATTATATGCCATTTAGCAATTTTCAAAGCTAAATTTGCTTGTATTGATAAAGATTAAAGACAATTTACTTAAGCCCTTTTTCACTAGGTCTAAAGATATCTTATCCTTGTATACAATTATAATATAATGTAGATATTATATACAGTGGTGCATAAGTGACTATCTAAATGTATTATAGTATTATAGTATAGTAATAGTCTGTGTTCAACTATACCTACTACAATATTATAGTGTATTAGAACCTGCCAGCCCTAACAGTATATTTGAATAGGTAGTTAATTTTTTGATAATCGTTCGAAAATATGATACAGTAAATCATTTATGAATTTAATTTTCAGATGGAGGGGAGAATTAAATTTAAATTTAAACTATTTACACGAGATGTCATAGTGTTGACTATATCTGAAAATCGCTCGTTTTTAAAATTGTTTACAACCACTGTGTATAGTATACACAGTGATTTTTCTTTTAATACTATACAATGTATAGAGTTTAAAACAATTTTTGAGTTAGTAAAACTATAACATTTTTTTATGCAGTTCTGAAAAAAATGCGGAATTTCTACCCGGTGATTCATTGTTTTAAAATAAATGTTTAGATTCTCAACAGTGTTTTTTTAAAATTAAAAAACCTGACAACAAATTTCAATATGGTGGTTTAATTTTCGATGATTTATGGTGAGCTTTAGCTTTATAAAGGAAACAAACACGACTGATACCATTTCACTCAGAATAGTTTTTTGATTGCAAGCAATGCTTCATCGTTGTTTTCAGTATATATACTAAATTTCTTTGTATACGTCTTCCAAACATCACACCTATAACAGTGGTCTATCCATGTCCAAAGCATCTACGTCTTATCTAAGGTTATTAAAAATGTATAATATACGTAAATATTTGTCTTTGTAAACTAAACTTAATATATTTAAGGGAAATTGTTTTGTGAGTTTTGTTTATTTCGTTTTGGTTAAGAGACTGCAAATTAACGGAATAAAATCAAGAAAAATCTATACACAATTATTATATTACGATAATCAAAGACTATCAATAACCTAGGGTATCCTACAGTGTTATACTTATGCTAATAATTTTGTCAACATTAATTTTTTTTTTCAATCGGATGTTATGTGAGGACACATGTAGAGAAAAATTATCTTTTGTAAAAGATATAATTTTAAACATTTTAATGTAAAATACATTCATATCCGATCAATAGTTTCTTAGTAATAGACGTTTTAATTTCTAGAAAATTGGTGTGAAAACAATTAATTTTCAATACGTTACGCGATAAGTAATCACAATCGGCACGGTAATTCATATTCTCTTCAATTAAATATTAATTGTTTTCACACCTATTTTCTATGCATCAAAGCCACTATAACTAAGAAACTATTGATCGGATATGAATGTATTTTACATTAAAATATTTAAAATAATATATTTTACAAAATGGTTATTTTGTAAATTTTAAAAAGTAGGAAAAGTTATTATTTATTCAGTGATTTAATTTTTCTTTTGCACAAAACCCAATTGGGCAATTTTTTTTTTAAAAAAAAATAAATATCGACAGAGTTATTAGCATAATGATAACACTGTAGGGCAATCTGTATATAGGTATATTATAATATATAAACACTGATTTCAACCTGACAAATATATTAAATTAGCGTGTTATAAACGCGAACAATACTTTACATATACAGAAACGTGACCCCGAGGATATGCTCAAAAAACCATAACTAGGCCAAGTATTCGAAACTGGACGTCCTAGATTCAATAGTACAGTATCTAATTATTACAATACGACCAATGATAAAACAATACGAACCCATTAAAATAAATATGGTACATACGGTTAGAAAGAACCTTACCACACACAACAGATTAATTATTAATTTTGACGCATACGCGATATGCAATGTAAGTCTAAATAGAGAAAAAGAGTTGAAAAAAAAAATCATGTTTTAAAAAACTCAGTATAGTAGGTGTAATAATTAAAATATAATATTATTATTGTAGTTACCTATTTCTAACCGAAAAATAATAGATCAAAATGTCTCTATCAATGAATATTATCTATACGTCCATCTGGTAAAGTTTAATACCATTAGTATTGTACTAAGTACAATTTTAAGATTTTAAAGAGAAAAAAACTCCCGAAATTATTATTATATATATATATATATATACATTTTTTAACGGTACTGTTAAAACATAATAATAAAATAGCAGTAGGTATATACATTGGAGGGCACGGAGAGAGAAAGTGAAAGCAGTTTACCTTCGTACCTACATAAGTATACGCATCGACCTCCTAGTAAAATAATATAATGAGACGTTTCTGACTATAATATATAGGTATGATGCTACTTTTGTATGAACGTAAACATAATATTATAAGTAATAAAATGTATACTTTTGTATTATATTATACAGAGTGATGGCATTCTTCAAAAACTTTTCATCTCGATAAGAAATTTGCATCGTGGAAAGGGGAAGATTGGATAGATACCGATATTTCGTTTCTTTGTCTTAATACAATATGCGCGTATAGCAAGTTAGACCAATTTCCCTTCAATCGGTCCGACCGATGTAGTGAAGCGATAATAATAATTTTGAAAACATAAATTAATTCAGCATGTGGAGTGTACACGAGATCGGCCAGGCCGCTTTTTCATAAACTAAATTAAAATCTTTTTTTTGTATACAATTTCAAATCAAATTGCAAGTGATTAAAGAATGAAATTCGAAAAAGAGATCTCACCGATTTTTATAATATTACTAAGGGCTAAGAAAAATGGCTATGGCACAAGGGAACGGAAATAATAAACAAATTAAATTAAGATAAGTATGCCTATCTTTATGTCTTATACCACTAGGTATTTTAGTATAAGGATATGGACTACAAACATTTATATTTTAATTACATTTTTTTGTTTTAGTAAAACAATTTTAAAATAGCCATTTAATAGAGTTTAAACATTTTCTTCTGAAAATGTTGATGTTTTAAATTTTTATTATCATAAAATTCGTGATTATTTAGCATTTGTTAAAGTTCAGAGAAAAAAAGAGTACAGCCAGTTAATTACCCAAAATAAAAATAATAATTATTATTTAGATTACTTATAACTATGCAGCAGGCTGTAATCGCTGCTAATTAATTATAGACTAATATGAATTAATTATTGACTGTACATTTTTATTCTCTGAATATTAAAAAAATTATTAAAAATCACGAATTTAATGAAAATAAAAAGTTGAAATGTCAACATTTTCAAAAGAGTAAACTCTAAAAAAAAGCTAGCTTCAAATTTTTAAAAATTACAAAATAAAATATTTATTTTATTAAAACAAAAATTTAATTCAAATATAAATATTTGTGGTTCTTATTCCCATGAGTATTATATAAAAAAAAAAAACAGAATTTAATTATCTTTATTATCTCCGAAGACATTCCATTCCAACAGGTTTCGTGGGACACCCTGTATACATTTTGAAATAAATAAAGTGTAGGTACCTACCTATTAAATACTATATAAACATTTTTTATTTATTTTAATTATAAACGAGAATAATCCTTTATCATCATAATTTAGTGTATAGGTAGTTGATAATTGTTATATTTAAACTCAACCTGTAGGTCACGATCTTTTTGGGGGGGTCAATGGGTCATAAGCTAATTATTTAGGGTTACCAAAACTATAAAACATTGAATCACCGTGTGTAAAATATTAATTTATGGGGGCACAACAGTAATAAAGTTAGGAAACACTGATCTATAGGTAATTTATCTAACTACAAGATGTAGGTATAACTAGTCCAAGGTAATTTGAATTTAGGGGATCGAGTTTCACCTAAAATTTTCATGCACTCATTTTATTATTACTATAAACAAACTAAAATCGGCTTTTTTCGTTCATATAGAATATTTTTTCTACGGAACTCAACCCCTCACTCCCATATAAAAGCTACGAATACCCCACTGTATAATAGCTTCACGCGTCACCATATCGTCGACAGAACTGATTAAAGGGAAACGATCTAAATTGCTTTGCTAAATATTATGTTTTATACGAGCCGAGCTGATGGAGTATACAATATGAATCACAAAAACTACACATTTTAATCAAAACTGTATTGGAAAATGCCACACTATAATGTGAGTATATACATACCTACATTGAATACGAATGATGTGATGTGTTTAAATACGATTTTTAAGTATTCGGAATTTATTACACGAACATATTGTATTCAAAACCGTTTAAATTAAACAGGTACGTATTACGTATAATTATTAAATTAAGGATATTACGTTAGAGTTTAATATTAAAAAAAAAAAATGTATAACTAAAATGTTTTTTTTAAAAATATTTTGGCGAAAAATCTTTCAAGGGAGGCAACGGCCACTACTTCCTCTCCTGTGCGCACACTTACGGTGCAAACAAAATATACGGTATACCTTGTAAATTACATACACTACTCGCTTAATAATTAATGTAGCACTTACGACAATATTAAAACTAAATAAATATACTACTGTTTACAATTATTTATTTAATGTGTACCTATTCTGTTACTAAAACGATTTAACGGGATTTTATAAAATCAATAATTTTAATAGCATACAGTGGCGTAAGCAGGTGGGTTAGAGGTTTTATCCCCCCCCATTGGCTTAAAAATACAATAAAATAAGATTAATTTAATATCTAAATCCATATATTTCTACCGAGTTACAAGGAATAGCTTGATGTATTGATTAGAAATTGACTTTTTTTTAAGGATTCGGCTTTTAAACTACCAATTTCTACAGTCGAGTTGGATACAGAAGACGATTTCACGATTCTTATTTGCTACATCCCTTCCCATTGGGAATGTTTAGGCACGCCACTGATAGGATATCACTACAGTAGTACGTTTTTAATTTACCCCGCAGGTGATCTAGGCGTAAATTTACGAGAACATAATCTCTTCAATTATGTTTTCTTTTTTATCGATTTATTATGATAATATTATAATATTTTATCGAAATTCGAAGTGCTCGTAGCAGTATAATAATATAGTGCATATTCTTAATAATTTCGATATACCTATTTATATGCTCTATATTATCAAATGAGCGAAAAAATATTTGCATATTTAAAAAAAAAAAAACAGAAACAAAAACTAACACGACGAAATTTTAGAAAATCTAAAAAAAAAATAAGATACTATATTATAATAAAAATAACAATTATACTGAATAATTAGGTACCTACCAATTTAAACGAAAAACAGGCACTGTTGAAAAAATATAATGAAATCTATAATATTTAAGATTGCTTTCATTTATAACATATATAATTTAAGTGTTAAATAAAAACAGTTTTAAACACGTGAATATGTGTTTATTAATATTGTTTACCGTGAGTATTATTTAGCTAAATTTTTACTTAGGTTGCAGTAGTTCATTTGTCGACATTTGCGTGGATAGAGCGGTCAGTATACAGCGGTGGTCAAATGATTTTATCATTGGAAGGGTTGAGATTGATTTTTTAAAAATTATCAGGTATTATTTTTTATATAAATAAAATATTATATATTCTTCTTGGTTTTAGCAGTAAGGAACAAATTTTACCATCTGTCTCTGTCCTTTGAAGTTTCCCTCCATTTCCTGTCTTAATCTTCTTCATTACATATTCTTTTCGTCTTAACTTTGACTTCCTTAAAGGTATTTTCCCAATAGTTTTCTTCAATCATCCAATTAACTAAAGATTTTTGGTTAAGCCAAACATGCCCCCCCTACATTAGTCGTATTTTAGCGATATCTTTAACTGTATTTGAAGTTCATTATAATTATACAATTTTTTCCATTCATTAATTTGACTATTTAAGATAGAGCCATATATTTTAATTAGACATTTTTAGAAGGTAATTAGAATATATATATATTATTATAAATATTGAAAGGTAAAAGTGATGCTGGAGATATATCTATCCTTCCATCACCTGATTGATCACCTCTAAGTGAATACGTCTACTATTCGAATAAATTATAACAAGGCTAAATATTTTGAATTTTGATGAAATAAAATATCAAGGATCGAATGCACTTTTTTTTCATGAGTCCATTAATAAATAATTTTGATTGAAACTTGAGGTCAACGCACATTCAATATTTTGCAACGTATCGTTATAAATGTTACGATAATATACCTACTCATTTGTTATTACAATAATTCATTATATTGTTCTCTGAACCGTTATATCAGCATAACGCTACACCTAAAACTTTATTCTCCTGTGGGATTCGAATGTAATTTTAAGTGAATTCAGTCACGGGAGGGAGAGGAGTGACTCTCAACTTAATAGCTTGTCAAATTAAAATCATGCGTTCAAGTTACGAGCATTTTCGGGCCCTGCCGTAAGAAGCTCGCGAGAGGACATTAGTTTTGAGAGGGATTCTTGGAACTTTTTACGGACACAGCTTTTATTACATACCATAAGAAATATTTATACCTAAAAAAAAAACTAATAATAAGAGAAAAAAAAAATCATGTCCCAGACATAAAATTATACGATTTTTTTTTTTTGCCTTAACGACCACACATAAAATGTTTTATGCTAAGCGCGGTAACAGAAGGACTCAGTACAATGAGACTAAAATGAACAAAATATTATTGATAAAACAATCGAATACAGAGCGATTTTCTATTATTATGTTTTGCATATGTGGTGCAATATTTTGGAACACTAAAATATTATTATGTACATTCAATATTATTAAATAATATAGTATAATTGTTATTTTTTTAATATTACTTATACGATGTTGTTGAATATTTAATTCTATAATGCTGGATTTATTTATTTTTTGTGTTCGGTTAATATTAAATATATTTTAATCTCTATAAATGCTGAAAGGGCAGTTGTTCAATTTTACAATTGTTAAAGAACGACAAAAATACTTTAACTCTGATAAAAATTTAAAAACAAAATGTTATGTTAATAAAATAATAACTAATGAATAACTATAGTGTTAGATATCATTTCTCATCACAGACATTTTATGAAATATATTATAAAACTACTGCGTTTTTTGTTTTTCTTGAACAATTTCAGGATTTGAACAATGCGGCCTATCTACATTTAAAAAACATTGTATGGACGTTAATTTTTTTAAAAAATGAATAAAGAAATTTAGTGTTATAAAATGAAGGTTATTATTATTATATTTTATAATTCTTCAACAACAATATTTAAACTACTTAACTGACTTTTGTCAACAATTCATATTATAATTTTATACATAGTAAAAACAATCTTCTGTTATCGATGGTAAAATTATTTTAAGCATTTATATTTTTATTACTTACAATTATTTATATATTTTTTTTTAAATTTTGTATACTCGCCTAATATACACGTTACATCAAATAATTTGTTAATTAATATTTTAATTCTAAACTGCAATAAATTGTAACTATAATACTTAATTATTACAATTCAAAACGTAATTTTGTTTCAATTTCAATCCATAGACTATTTGCGTGTCGTCGTTTAAATAGTTTATTGTTAACCTAATAATAATATTGCAAGCAATCGTATGAATGATGACAACTAATATATTCGAAAACAAAATTATAATAATTTCATAACACATAAAATGTGTTAGCCTTCGTTCTTCCAATATTTCGTAAATACGAAGTATAAAACATTTTGGTACATTGACATAACAATTTATTCTACGTTTGTCCGTTTGTCGGTATGTAGACGATTTCTAAAAAAAAAACATTGAATCGCGCGCAATCGATTTCTATCGTTTACTCTTGCTATATAACTGTATATATGTTATACAGGCCGAATTACGGAATTTAACTATATTATATTACACTGTTATAAAATTATTAAAATGACGATCGGCCTTAATTTTTGGACACAACGATTACAAATTTGATACCAATATATATGATTTCATTGTAAATTATCTATAGATACATCTGCAGTGTTCGAATTGGAAAAATTTAAATAGAGGAGCTCTACTAAGTTATGCAAAAATAGCGTTCCTACAAATATAAAAGTTCACTTAGTTTGGATTTAGGGTTGTGGGAGCTAATAATCAAAATAAAAAAAAAAGGTCACATATCAAAATTCTACTCTTAAGACATTATATTAGAACAGTAAATGTGAATAAAATAAAATTAAAAAAATTGTTTTCTTTTTTTATGAAACCACGATAAATTAAAAGTAATATATTCACCGCCTCAGACCTCCGTTTCAGTATGATAAAATAGTAAGCGTGTGTAAAAAAAAATATTAGAGGAGCTCCTTCCAGCTACGCAACTCCCTCCTCCAATTCAAGCACTAAAGCTATACTCAAGCAGTATATGCTTAATACTGTCTACGAAATAACAAGCATTTATGGTTTCGTTAATATTTCTTAACTCCGATGTAAATAAAGACAAATTAATTTTGTAGTTCTTTTAATCATTTATATAGGAACTAACTATAATATTTCAATTTAGAAATAATTATATTGTATACACTTTGATTAAGATCAAACGGATACTTAACAGGTTAATTTTTTTTGAAAATTCTGTTAATTCTGTTATACTCCACTATTATTGAATAACATATACCTACTAGAGTAGAAAAAAAAATTTTTTGATAGCAGATTATATTATGTTTTTCCTGCGTTATACTTGCGGCCGAAACATTATATTTGAATATGAATAAATATGAATTAATACTTATTTTCTGTCTATTGTTATTATCCCTTTGACCGTTTTATCATATTATAATCGTTGTATTGTATATTGCTTAGCAATTAAAAAAAAAAATACAAACAAAAAACTACCTTTAAACTTATTATTGTACCAGAAAATAAAAGTTCACTTCACTGCTTTCATAGATTTAGGTATAATCTAAATCCTAAGTATATTAAAATGCATTGATTTGATATTCGTTCCACAAGAATCAACTAAACTCTGGAACTTTAATAACTTTAATCGGATTATTAAAAATACAATTTAATACACGTAGATGCAGTTTATAATCTAAAAACTTGTTTACAATATTAAAATCTATGGCTCTATAGAAAAATTAAATTTAAAAAGAAACTCATTAAAAGAAAAATTATAAAAAAAAAAAAAAAAAAAAAAAAAAAAAAAATGCTTAACGAAAGTAGGCCGTACATTCCTTATTATAATCAACCGTACAGACCATACGCTGATGGTTCATATTTATGAAATACATTTTTTCAGGTCTCATAACAATAACGTTGAACGCAGATTTTTTTTTGTGATTGATCTATAGTAATATTTTCTACGGTGCATTTGTTAGAAGTAAATAGGTACGTATAAAATAGATTTTTGGTCTACAAAGTGTATCCAAAATTTCAATATAAATCAATTTAAAAAAAAAAAAAAATATATTTTTTTCTTATATTAGGTATTTAGTTATATTGATGGATAGGTGAGAGGAAATATTAATTCTACAATAGTGAAATATATTAAAAATGTCCACGAGAATTAAATATTAAAGGTAAAATCCTATAAGTCAAAATAGGTACCCATTATTAATTTATTAAGTTTATAAAATTAAGTTTTTATTATACGAAACAGTTACGAACATTTCGGTAGTTTAATCACTCAGAAAGCAAAAAGTACTACATTAGTATTTCAGAATTTATTGAAGCGAAAATCTCGTTTATGAATGTAAACAACTTTTAAGTTCTAAAGGTATAAGCATATGTACAAAGAAAAGATAAAAGTATTCATATACTGACTGTGGCTTTTTACGGAACTGAAAAAATGGGTGATTAATAAAACGGAAGAGTTCAAGGTAGAAATCAACCTCGAATAACACTCATAAAAATAATAAATTGTTGATGCCGGGCTAGCAAACTATACGTAGACTCAATGAAATTAGCTGTTAGCGGATAAGACTGGAAGAAGTACGGAAAAAGGCTGTAATACTTAGGCTGTATCCTTACAGTTGACAACCTAAGAAGAAAGAAGATTATATGAATACGACTAGATGAGTATTTTAAGTTATTAACATTTTGCGATAAAAGTTTTATTGATGTAAAACTAAAACAACGTAAAACATTATAAAAAACTGCCTTTAGTAAAAACATAATAGATTGTTAGCTTTAAAAAAGCTACACCTCAATATTAAAAAGAGACTTATTAAAACATATGTATGGAGTTTCGCAACATATGGATGTAAAATATAGGTAATAAATGATACCGAAAAGAAAAAAACTAGAAACCTTTGAGACGTGGTGTCGGGGACGTAAGATAAGTATAAGTTAGATAGAACGAAAAACAAACGAAGAAGTAATTAAAATTGTGAGAGAAAAACGTACACGAATAGATGTGATTAGAGAAAAGCGTCGAAAAATGGTTGGAAATGATCTGAGACATCCAGAAGTGTTCCATAATATAATATTAGAGGGTATGATAGAAGGAAAGAAAACTGCAGGACGTCTTCGAAATTCTTATATAGGACGCATTAAATGTGATGCATGAGTGAAAACTTCAACCCCCCCCCCCCCAAAAAAAAAAAAAAATTAAAATAGGCTCATACATTCTAGTATTAAAACTGACAGCAAAAAATCGATTTTTATATCTAAAAAATATAAATATAACGACATTAACCGTAACATATATTTATTAGGATTGGTCAGCATTTTCTCTTTTCATTTTTCCATTATTTTTTTTTTTTATCTTTTCGTGATATTATGTTCGGCTGAGTAAAAAAAACGTTTCCCTCAAATTTTAAGATCTTCTTCAAAATGATTTTTAGAGGCTATGAGCAACAAATTTATCAAAAGTAACCGTTTTTATTTTTTTTTATACAATAAATACTCATTTCTCAAAAATTAAAAAAATAAATACATTAATATTTATTTAAAAAAAAATTAAACAAAACATTTAAGCTTATTTAGCTCATAGAAAATTATATTGAATGTGAATTGCCCTTTAAATCTACTCGATAATTTCAGCAATTTAATTTTCTATAAGCTAAATAAGCGTAGATAAATTTTTTATGCAAATTATTTTTTGAAAAACGAACATTTATACTGTAAAAGAACTAATAAAATAGCTATTTTGATAAATTTGACTTCTAGAAATAGTTATAAAAATCTAGAAATTTGAGCAAAACATTTTCTTTTTACCGACTGAACATAATATTATAAGAGCAAAAAAAAAAAAAAGTAGGTCCACTTAACTATATATTATATTATTATTATTGCCTATTATTACATTACTATGAAAAAAATGTTTAATGATAAATCCGTTAATTTATTACCTATAAAAACGTTCAAGTAAAAATTATTATTTAAGTAAAACAATATTATAATATACGTTATACTATTGGTACGCGAAAACTATATCATACTGTTAATAATATGCATGATACATTTTTTTAAAAAAACGTTTATTATTAAAATTCGTCCGTTTATCGCATCAAATTCGATGTCAATGTGAAATCCAATTTAAACTTCAATCAATATTACATTTGAATGTACAACGTATAATTTTCAACGTTATTAAATTCCACGAATATTACGTAGAAATACAAGAGTTATATTATTGTATGGTATTACGTTTACATAAAAAAAAAACCTGTGTATGTATGGGATTCTCTGGCATCATACGTAAATAAATAGCATCGCCAATAATATCGAATAAATACGTAAATATATGTAGACAGTATACATGTACATATTATAAATCCAGTAAATCTTTAAAATATGTAAATAAATAAATACAATAATATTAAACATTATACAACAATATTTTGATGTGGAATTCGGTACTTTTTATATTATACATTTGTATAATTTTTTAGAATACGCATTAACGTTCCAACACCAAACACCTACCTGTATTATAAACTTTATAGGTACGCAAGTTGCTAATTTGGGAATTGTGTGTAATCATTTTTTCAGTGTCACTCCATTTCGTACTACTACTACTACTACTCGATACTATGCTAATAATTTCACGTGACTAATATCAACAAATAAAATATATGGATTACGTATACAAACGACAAATGCGATCAGCAAAAAAAAAAAAAAAATGATTAATTTGGCATCCGTAACAACAATATAATATTAAATATTTGTGTTTGTCGTATACCCTAACTGAATATAATGGCTTTCAAGCCCCAAAAGATCATGTTGATATTAATTTATTACTTTGTAAATAGTTAGAGGTAATTCAATTTTTGTTAACAGACACCTATACAATATTATTTGTAATAAAAACTTGGTACATAAAGACTTTAAAACTATTTTAAAACGTGGAGTTCCGTTTGTTATGTAGTCGTGTTAATGAAATATATTCTTATCTTAGCGATTGTTTAAAACATATCTTATTATAAGAGTATTTGAACTATAACTTATAATATTTAATTTCTCAAGTACCTAAACTAAGTAAGTAACTAAACAATTATTAAGTAAATTTTACTTAATAATTTGCTATATTTACAATGAATTATGCAATGGTAATTTTCGAGAAAAATTTAGATAGAGCAGAGCGGAAGTAGGTAATTTTATTTACTTGTTTTAAAATATTATCAATTTAAATTTTCTAAAATATCAGTATGCTGTCACCCTCTAATTTCTAAAATAATTCATTATAATCTTCCATTATAGTTATCACCATCGTAACGTGTAAAACATAATATATTAATATCTTTCACTTTCTCTACGATTGGTCTAAGGGGTGAAAAGCGCACATAATTCTACTCAAACATTAAATAAACTACATACATTTTAAGTATATATAATATAGTTATTTCTTATATACAATATTAAATGGATGTTTTTTTTGAAATTTTAACTTACACTTAAATAATAATTGTTGATTTCTGTTTCTTTTTACTGTTTTTATTGTCAAAAAAATTAAACATTTTTTTTAGACGATCCATACAAATTTTAATTTTATTACAATTCAAAAGTATGACAAAAAAAGGTAAAAAAATAAATAAATAGTTATTAGATAACCCAAATATTTATAATTATTCAAGAATTTTTGTAGGTCCTTTTTAATATTGAAAAATTATAGTAAAATGAAATTAATTTTGTATCCAACTTTTTAACCTATGTTAAAAAGTCAATAGTGTTTATCCAAGTGAAATATAGTATATATCTTGTTAGATAGGTAAATAGTTAAATAGGATCCTACCAAAAAATACATTAATAAAATTATTTTAATAGATCCAACGGAATTAAAGATTTTTGATATTCAATTCACCAGATTATAATATTTAACAGAAAATTCGAGAGCATCAAAATAAATACGATATTTATTTACCTGTTTTTAAGTACTAAACAGACAGTTTCAACGATCGATCACGTAACTAACACAACAGGAGTTGTGTTAAAATTACACTATAATAACTGCAGCATTGTGTAAATTAACGTGTATTTCCTGTATGAACTAAATGTAATAAAATAATATAACAGATTGAAAGAAAATACGAATGTAGAAAAAAATAATAGATAAAAACTATAAGAGAAACAACGATCCGCGCGAACACTAGGCAAGCGAAGAAATGACGGTCTGGACATGTGCCACACGTTCGGTAAACTGAAAGGAAAATGTACTGCACCGTTTCGTAGTGAGATCAGTTATTAGAGAGTAGGAGACAATATTGTCGTTCATTGACGATTATACAACGATTTTTAATACATTTAACGGACAATTTGAATATAGGTGCCTTTATCGATAAAAAAAAACTATTTTTACGCGATAATTCTATTTTCTTCGTCATTATATACATATATTTGTTTTATATACGGTAAAATTAATAGATTTTTCAAATAAATCAATAACAATGTTATTATTATTACGATGCTGTGTTATTTTAAATTGATGGTTTAACAAATGCGACTAACCCAACATTTTGTGGTATTAAATTAATTTGTTATAGATAACGCCGCAAGTATTACACGGGGGTTTCAGGTCTTTAGCAACTCCTAAAACTCCTAAAGTACCTTTTATAATATTTTATGGATCAAACAGATAGCCGATTAATAACAACTATCCATTAAATTTATATTAATATTTGTATGTTTGGGTCAATTTAGTCTCCAAAATATTTTTAAAATGTGTCACTACATACCTAATATATGATACTATCTATTACCTATAATAATACTAATTAAAACTAATTTGTAGAATTAGCTTAATGTATTTAGGAAATGTTTAATAAACATTCCATTATATTTTAGAATTTAGATATCGAACAAAAGCAAAACAACTATTAGTTTTATAGTACTACTTTTTTTTCTTCAGAAAACAGGATTGAGCATTGTAAATGTTTAAAAAGTTTGCACCATAAACTTAAAAGATAAGTCATAAAACACGAATAGAATTTTAAAATGGAAGTATTTCAAATATCTTAGTTATGTCGAAAAACTAAAAAACTAAAATGCCGAAAAACTACTCGTAAATAAACAGGAAGAATTCAAACAAGTATAAAAATGTTCACTGTTTCAATATTTCACATAATAATTTTAACTTAATGACAAATCATAAATATATATTATACATACATAAATGTATAAATAAAATCATTTAGAAGCACGCTTTAAACATTTTGGTAAAAATAATATTACAATAGTCTTATTTTAAAAGAAATGTATAATATCTTCGTAATTCTATTCGAAAGTAAAAAATTAGCATTAAAAAAAAAAAAAAAGAATTGACAGAAATACTATTTATTATTATCTTATTATTTATCTAAATAACTAAATAAGACATACCTATTTTTGTTGCAGGTAAATTATAATAAGTACATGTTTATGAACGGATCTCTATCTATCCAATATATTTAAACTAAAGCGAAATTGTAGGAAGTTACTGTAAACTAACAAGATGCCAAGAGTTCATAAGTTTATACACAATCCCTATTGAAAGATAAAATAAAATAAAATTATTATTAGTAATATTTTGATAATATTTTGATACTAAAGCCGGTTTAAAAATAAATACAGTTCAGTCAATTTAAAATAGATACTTCAGATGAGTTACAATACAATTTGAACAAAGATGAAAAAATATCACTTAATATCAGAATTAGAAAAGAAAAAAATAATGTTAAAATACAAATTTGCGATAGATTCAAAAATTTGTTTACTAAATTAGAAATATTATTATTTTTTACCCAACTATTTTTTTTTTAATTAAAATTTTTGCATAAACTCAACTTATAATATGATATTACTTTATAGTAGGTACAAACCATGTTATGCATGTAATCATTATATTAGTATCCAATCCAACATATTTATCAAAAATAATACATCGTAATATTACACATATATGCTAGTCAAGATATTTATGTAAAAACACATTATTTTAAATTCTGAATGAAGCGAAGAATGTATTGGTCTTACAATGATGTTTTTTTATTTTTATATGCTGTACAAAAGTCTTGCTTCTATTTTTAAGTGTGCCTCTATTAAATATACCTAAATCATATAGTTAAAAGTTCATTATACTGGTTTTTTTTTTTTTTTTTTTTATCAATACAATTTAACATTTCAGTTTAATATTAAAAAATACGTCTTAGGATAATGGAGACAGGTGCAGCCACTTTTATAGGTAATTTAATATATATCTGTAAGCAATGATAAACCATTGCTAACAAAAAAACGATTTTAAGCTCAATTCAGTTGATAATAATACTTTGTCAACAATATATATGTACAATTATGGTAAAATAATTAAATAAGCATTATATATTTTCTTTAATAATATTTGTTTAGTATTGTACCGATTTTCCGGGTTTTTCACATTTACAGGGAAAACTCTTGGGAAAATCGAAAAATGACCTCTTTAAAGTACCCCAGTTAGATTTCCTTTTAAAAAAAGTGCTATCATTGTAAATCGGAGCAAGATTTTTGGTAGGAAAGTTTGCACAATAAATCGAGGGGTATTTTGCGATTAAAATAGTCCGAGCGAGCGATGGCTTGGGTTTCCTAGGTACACCTAAAATGTATTTTCGAAACACGGGTTTGAATTCGCGAATTCTAATTTCTTCTAAATTAGGTATGTATAACCTATTCAGCTACAACAAACATACTTTAGAGAAGACAATATTTAGTTATTTAACATAACATTTAATATCTGCATAATATTATTACTTTAAAAAGCTATAACTCTGAAAGAGTCAATCCACTCAATTCCACATTTACCATCGTTTTTAAATCGAAAATATACATATGTTCAAAAGAAAAAAAAATTGAAAAATTAAATTTGTTTCACATAATATTTTACTCAATAATTTTCGACAAAATTTGATATAAAAAGTTTTTTATTAAAAAAATTATAACATTAAACTCAAATTTTCTTTTTTTTTGACCACAAAGTATGACTCTTAATAAACCTCTTGTTAAATTTTCAAGCATTACTGTTAAATCTAACAATTTTATCACCACAGAGTATCTACCGAATAAAAATTACGTACAGAACTCGCAAAATTAAAACATCGATAAATAGCTCAAAAATGTAAATTTCCCGTTTTTCTTATGTTTTATCCTGGGTTTTTCCAGATATTATGAAAACCACTTGAAAAATCGAAAAATGACCTTCTAAAAGTACCATCTGGACAACATTACCTTTCAGAAATGGTTCCGCAATTATATATCTGGGCAAGATTTCTTACAAAATGTGTCCTACTAATCGCAAATTTGCTATGTCTCACGTTAGTAAGACATAAACAGTAGATGTTAGAGTGGTGTCTTCTTAAAACAAAAATCATAAATATATTAATATTTAACCTAACCTACAATAAGATCTCCCATTCTGTTTTTACATAATAAGTCAATAATAAATGTATTTCATATATAATAATTATTAATTTCACAACTGATTGAATAAATTAAATATAATAATTAAGAAAAATCAACAATACTTAGGTAGATTAATTTTCGTGTGAAGCTTAAAAATGTTAGGTATATACCTAAAACTATAAAAGCATATACAATTATACTATCAATATCCTAAAGTACTTACTGTAAAAAATCACCTAGATACACAAAAATGTGTTGTACTTATTCTAATTTTTATGAAGAAGAATGATTATTTTATGGATATGTCTACACTTATTATTTCCACAAAAAAAATAAAAAAGACCATTTTGTAAGATCAGAAGCAACAGGCATTCTTCATATTATATCACATGTTTGAAAGCCTACAAGGGCAAGTGTATTATATTAAATTTGAAAGTGATTAAAACCTGTGGCAATTAGCATTCCGAAAACAGTTATGAACAAACTCTAGTAATAGGAAAAAAACCTCTGGAGGAAAAGTAATTAAAAAAAGAAAATAAACAAAATATCCACAGGTTTAAAGTGGCAAACAAATTATGTAAGAATAAAGTGTGTTAAATAATACATATTTAAAAAATAATGTAGGTACTCAGTGTTCAATTATTATATTTTTTTTTCACAACATAAGTAGGTACCTATTTATTTTGTATAAAAGATAGATGCATATTTATTAAATTATGTTATTTGAATTCGTTTTTTTATAACACATATTTGTATTATATTATTATATCATTAAGCCCTAATTTTTATATTTTGAACATTTTGACAAATTGAAAAATGTACTTTTTCTAAATTTTAATTATTATCTATGCAGAAAACTTTTTATTCATATATATATAAATATATTATTGAATACCACAATTCAAAGAAATATATAGGTATTTGATTTTAACTTGCTAATGATATAAGTAACTAAATAAATAAAATACAACTTTATTACCCATATTATTTTAAAAACAACATTACAATTCTGAACTTACAAGAACATACTTTTTATATTTTCAACGAAATTAATATTTATTTTAAAAATTTTAAATGCTTACAATTTTGGTGAATATTTAAATAAAATATATAATTCAATAACCTATATGTTTTAAACTTATATTAGTTGATACTTTAAAAATAGAAAGTTTTTAAATATGTAGCACACACTCAACCAACGCAACTCATTCATTAATTCAATAAACTTACAGAATTACATACAATAATCTATTCAATAAGAAATGTATTAATACAACACTGATTTATTACTATTGATTATTATTAGTGTTATTACATAATAAATTAAGTAATAAGCGCTCAAATATTGTGACACTTATAAATTATTATAGCCTTAAAGATTATTCATTCCATTTCTAAAAACTAAATGTGTACCTAGACCTAATTAATTATTGTGTGTTATTAATCTAGATATACATATCTTAATATAGATAAATAATATATTATTAGTTATTATTAAATCAGTAAAAATGTTTAGACTGTTTAGAGCCTAGACCTATGCAATAACTACCTACCAAAAGAGCTGGATTAACACTATCGAAAACCCAAGGCAATTTTTTCATTATACAATATCATTAACTATTCCAAGTTATTTTATTTTATATTCTTATAATAATTGCCACAAGTTACAAATATATACAAATAAAATTCATAGGTAACTTTTTGTTATATAATGCGCTAAATAAATCACTCATCTAATAATATCTAAAATGTAGGCATAAGGTATTTAATATAGGTATCTATATTAAATAAAAGATAAGTTGTAAATGAAGATTTTGTATGGTATATTACTTATAAAATATATTTATTAATGTTTATTCCTTTTTAAAACTGAAAACAATCTTTCACCTTTGCACAATACTCTAAAAATTGATAGGTAAATCAAATGTATTCTGAAAGCAATGTTATATTTAGAAAACTTGTTACTATTTTGATATTTGTTTGTTTCATAAGCATTTTATTATTCCCATTTCTTAAAAAATTTTAAAATTTTATAATCATTTACAAATGCAAACTTATTAGTTATTGTGCTAATATAAAATGTTCAACAAAATGTGTAGGTAAAAACATTTTTACAGGCACAATAATTTTCATAGTCATAAATCTCTGTAGGCCCTAGGCTCTCTGCTGGATCCAGTGAATATAAACTATGTGCTAATACAACTCTGCCTGCTAATTAAAAATATAAGTGGATACCTAATAAATTTAGGTTTTGTGTCACTAGTTTTTCAGTCCATGGAATTTTGGTCAATCCAAACTGGTTCAAGTAGAATTAGTAAATTTATTGGTTTTGAAATATTTCATTGAAAAATATTTTGAAACCACAGATAAATATTATTTATTATCTTTGTTTGAAATAGAACACTATTTAGAAAGAAAGTAACATCTAATTGTTTACCAAATAATAAATAATAGAATAGGTACCTATCTACTTAATATATAATATATAGTAATACAAGGTGCTAAATGATATAGACTTTATTTCTCAAATAAGCAGGGATATTTTTCGCTGAGATGGTTTTTTGTTTAATCGAACTTAACTGAAAATTTAAAAATAGGTAGGTAGGTAATAATTTGAATATTACTGGTAATAAATAAATATTTAAATATTTTTCCAAACTGACAATACCAATGATTTAGTGCAAAATAATGTATATTAGTAAGGTACTACTTACGATTTTGCGTTTTGACTGATTCCATTACATATAACTGGCAATTGGCATAACAACATTACAAGGTTTCACATAATTGTTAACTAATTTATATAATGTTAAGTTAAGTACAAACAATGAATCAATAGCCGACACTCAATATAAAAATTCATCGGACAATTTAATGACTAGATAGGTTAATAATATAATGTTACAAAAATTTAAGTATCTCAAAACACTAAAGTAGTTCTTAGTTCTTAAATATATTATCAGGTGACTTTGCGGTTATCAAAAAATAGAAAAAGCCAATAGATACTAAGAATTTACGAAATTAATTATCGTGATAAAGTTTGGTCACGGTTAGACCGATTGTTAAGATAATACTATCTTATATCGTGGTCACGGTTATAGATAGAAACAAGGCAATCGTGGCAGCTCGGAGGATCGTGTTATCATAACATTTTTGCACATATTGTTTTTCATCGCGTTTTCATTGGTTTATTTCAAATTTCACGCGATTTTCATTTCAATCATAATTGCTATCATGTAAATGTTTACAAAATGTTTAAAAAATTACGTGGCCCAATAGTTAATCTCACGCATAAGGTTTTTTTTGTTTTAAAAATAAAAGGTTTTCTCCTTGTATTTAACCGACGTGATTTTGCACAATAAATCTAGGGATATTTTCGTAAAAAAAAAAAAAGGAAAAGGAAAGTGTTAACATTTTGTGCTAACACGATCCTCCGAGCTGCAACTGCGATTACCTCATAGATACCTAGAATGGTTGTGCAACGCGTCCTCCTTAGTTTCTTTTTAAAATCTCGAGTCACTGCAGTGCCATCTACCGAATAATATAGTAAACTGACTGTATAATGATACGAATTTACTTAATTTACTTTACACTTCGTTAGTGTTTATAAACACAAATCACAATATTTTAAATTGCTATAAATTATAGTCTATAAGTATCATTATTATTAATAATACTATTCACTTTGATTATATACTAATATACTACAGTATATGAACTAAGATTATTAATATATATTAATATATCCGTGAGTTTGGTAAAGAGATATATCTAATAAGAATACCTAAAAATGATTATAACTTAGTGCTTTTCATCATATTTTTCCAAAATTTAATCGCAGATTTTTTTTAAATGTATCTATTAATTAACTGATATACCAGTGTAATAACTGGAAAATTTACGGAAATTATCCGTAATTTAATAAGTAAAAGGCTTCCGATGATTTTTGGAAATTTTACCACTTCTAGGTAAGTCCAATATAAATATTATTACCAAATTTCAAATTTCTACGTGTATTTATAACCGAATTACAAAGCAAAAAATCTTCCAAAAATTAAAATTCCTTAAAAGCTCAAAAGTCGCTCAAAAGTTTTGGCAATGATACCATAAGAAATTAAATCAAAAATTCAACAAAAAAGTGACGTGTAATTTTTCAATTAAATCATTTTTTCTGGTAGAAAAGGTCGTCCGTGTTTTTATAAAATAATGAAATCGTAAAATTGTACGTTTTCCTACGTTTTTTCCCACTTAAGTTTTTCCCACTTTATTTTAAAAAATGGCGTTGAAAATTGAAAAAATTACTTCTTTAAAGTACCATCCAGACTTATTGAGCTTTCAGAAAAGTTGCTATGCGCAAAAATCGAAGCAAGTTTACTAGGAAAAAACGTGTCCACAGACTAGAAAAAAGAAAAAAAAAAAGAAATGAACAGCATTGTAAAACCAATTGCTCCCTTACTACGCTTAGAATTTAAAAATGGGATTACTCAAAAGACATCCATGTGACTGTGATGAAGCATAAACAATGGACAACCTATTGAAATGCTGCAAATGCCCAATCACTTACAATGAAAAGAACCTCAGCAAATCAGAATACTATATAATTATGGTCCAGTACTGGTCAGACGACTTATGACAATTTGGAATGATAAATGATGAAAATTTAAACTGCCAAAGCAACAAAAAAATTACCGAGAACTAATTATTAAAATTTTTGAATCATTGTTATAAGTTGATCTAATTTTTACTCCGTGTTAATTTTGATATAAACGTATTATATATTGCATTGTATCATTACTTAACACGATATAAATATTAAAAATAGGTATTTATGATATGAGACGAGACAGATATTATTTAACCTTGAACTTTTACTGAGTGAAATATAAATAATACCTTCAATATTATTTAATAATTGTGTAAAAATGTATTAGTTTTCTTTCATTATCTTAAATTTGAATTCATATAAATATATATTAATATATAATATTCAATTTATTACACATTGATTAAAACATCGCTAAAGTAATAATATTACTTTAAATATATAAACGATATAACATTTTATTTATGGCCGTTTGTACTATACTACCAATAGACCTTATAATATTAGGTATAAGGTCTATGCCACTACCATACATCAATATGATATCATCGTAAGTTATGTTTATAAAAGATAGCCTTCAATATTTCTTATAACGCAAATAATTAAGTTATAGTAGGTAGGTATCTACAATCTACATTCAAAAAAAAGGCTGATATTTTTCGCACTATAGAAAAACGATTGCATTAGAAAAACGATTATTTAGTCAAAATTAATATTGTAGTGGGTTATATCATCATTATTATGTGATACCTAATATGGCGTGGAAATGTCCGGCCTAGCTCGAATTTTGTCTTATCATTGTAAAGAATAACTGTACCACGCATATTTGTAAAAAAAAAGTCCGGCATGGTCCATATTTAAATTTGAAAAGCCTGAATCGGCACTTGTATGTCTTCAACACCTATATTACGTAGTCATACACTTATCAGTGATACGATTGTTTTTGATTGTTCTCAGACGCCGTTATATGGATTAATTATGGCTAAGTTTAATCACTGAGTTATCACTCACATGTATCGGTTTTAGTCTGGTGTTCAATTTTAAAAATATGTATATTGGTCTAAAAGAATTACGTTTTGTTTTTTAAGTAGGCATAGGTTGGTTTTGCAAAAGTATTTTTCACAATTGACGATTAAAACCTATATTTTTATAACTTATACAATAATTAATTAAGGAAGTTTATAGTTAATTTATTGTACTCACAAATATCTACATTCAACATAAATAATGATATTATATAAATCATAAATGTAAGATTAAATAATAAATATAAATAATTATTCAGCTTATTTAATATGTAATATAAATGACTATGACCTTTTTCAATCACTTAAGTAATAGATAAGTAGTATTGTAATAATTGATATATTTTTTTTTTAATGTACACTTTTAACATTATTCGATAACCATTTAATGATATTTTTCTGAATACAGTTAAATTATTCCTACAAATACTGACAATTCGGTATCAAAAATAAATATGTTTAATATATAAATAACAGTGGTATGAAGGGCAATAAGCCACGGGCCCATGAAATTTAGGGCCGCAAATTAGGACTCATGGCTTTATTAAGTAATACAAGAGGACAAACCTTATTTTTTTGCTCCAAATTTAGTAAATTAGGCACTCGGGTTGTGCACTTGGCCGGTGCTAGAAATTATTGATGGGAGTAGGGGGATGTACATATACAAATTTTACGAATCTTCAAGATATTTCAAGCTAAAATTCAGTATACAATTTTGTTTGCAGATGTGGTGGTTTTGGTTTTGGGCGCTGCTGTAGTGCTCTCTATGCGGTGAGATATTTGTATACGGGCATTAAAAGTTCTAATTACAATACTGATAAATAACCTACTTTAGTAAACAATTTTAATATAAGTTCATAAAAATTAGGGTGAACATTGACGGCCCTTATAATTTTGACAAGGAGTCAATTGCCATCCTCACATTTTCTAGTTTACATATAAGTATTTATGTGATATCAATATGTATTTTTACACTTAACATTTATTAAAAATAAGCTTTATAATTTATAAACATTAATTCGAGAGGAACATTTAAAAAACATTAATTTAATTTAATATGTTTGGTAATTGTATAAACATTTTTAGTATGTAAAAAGTAAAGACTTTTAGTAGTTTTTACAAGTAGTACCTACCTACTATAAACGTTATTTAACTTTACAGTTTGAACATATTATAATATATACCTAAATGTAGGGGAAGATATTACATGTCGTAATTCAACCATAAGAAAAAGTAGGTAGGTACTTAAATTAACTTGAAAACACTGAATATACTACAATAGGCAAAGTACGGAAAAATATTATAGCCATATAAACACAATTAACAAATAATACCTTGATAGTAGAAAAATATTGATTTTCAATTTTATTTAAATCAATTATGAAAACAATTTGATTCTCGGGAATGGATCTGTTGCCTTCATATAAGTGTTGCTTTTATAAACAATACTCTTTTGTTCTGTAATAACTTATAAGTAATATATACTAAAAATTATATGTTGCCATAATATAAATAATCGTTTCATATTTGTTCTACATTATATTTCAGATCTTGTCACAAAACTAAATTACGCTATACTTGTAATTTAATAACATTACCCTATAGATAGTAATGGTGTAGTTCTTGGTACCCAAATATATTCTGAATGCTTTATAATATTTACATCTGTTTATAACATTTTATTTTTTTAAGTCAATTTCTCCTAAATGTGTTTCGGGAGAATCTAGAAATATTACTTTTATTCATAACAAATACGTAGAAGTGATCAATAGCATGGTAGCGCGAATTCTGGAAACTTTGCATAAGCCATGGAATATTAATTTTAAACTTCAACCTCTATTTTCAAAATTATTAACTACCTACTCCTTTAAAATTCGTAAAATATCATAATTATATAATAAGATTATTATAACAATAGTTTTGTCTAATTTTAATAGTTAAATGTATGTTTATTTTGTTACGTATTTAATTTTAAGGTAGACAAAAAACAATTATTTTATTAACGCTACAAAATTTAAATATGCGAGTGGATAAATCAATAACGAAAATCAGTGTCCAAATGGTTGGTAATCACGGACACCTATTATAACCTTACAGGAAATATTTGGTGTTTTTGTAGAAAATCTTGGTAATCGATGAGAAAATTATACTATACGAGTACTATCGTAGTATTCTGGAATCTGGTGTACACAATATCCATCAAAAATTTACCCTCTGATAAATACTATAACTTCAAACTTTTTAAAGGAGGGCTATTATTGGTCGAAAAATATTTTGTTTGGGCTGTATTTAATTAAAATCGTATTTCGTATTACAGTTCTAATAAAATACTTCCTGATAAAATATTTTTC